AACCTGGATGGTTGAGAATCTACATAGACAGACAAACTAGGCAATACAAACTTTGCACCCTTCTAGCACTGATGAAATTACCTAGTTGGGTGATGAAATGTTTTCAAGAAAACCATTAGACTCAGCTGCTCAAGTGAATGTATGACTCCAGCGATGGTGGGTCTCACAAAAGGGGTAAAATTCCCTCCCGGCCATCCCAACTTGGGGCTCAAAATCATATCAGCGATGCCAACAATGTTTTCTCTTGCATTCATCAAGGGACATGCTCTTAAATACTGTGCATTCTGACATCTTTATTCAAAAGACAGATAACAGAGTTGGAAGGGACCTTCGAGGTCTTCTAGTCCAACCCCCTGCTCATGAAGAAAACCTTATACCATGCCAGACAAATGGTTGTCCAGTCTCTTCTTAAAAACTTCCAGTGTTGGAGCATTCACAACTTCTGGAGGCAAGTTGTTCCCCTGGTTAACTGTTCTAACTGTCAGGAAGTTTCTCCTTATTTCCAGGTTGAATCTCTCCTTGGTCAGTTTCCATCCATTGTTCCTTGTCTGGCCTTCGGGTGCTTTGGAGGATAGCTTGACCCTCTTCCTCCTCTCTGGGGCAGCCCCTCAAATATTGGAAGACTGCTCTCCTGTCTCCCCTGGTCCTTCTCTTCGCTAGGCTAGCCGTGCTCAGTTCCTGCAACCGTTCATCGTATGTTTTAGCCTCCAGTCCCCTCATCATCCTGGTTGCTCTTCTCTGCACTCTTTCTAGAGTTTCAACATCTTTTTTATAGTGTTGTGACCAAAACTAGTTAGACAATGTAATGCGTTAGATAAAGTCACATTAAATTTCTTTTCCCTTCGCTAGTCTAGAGGATATATCCAAATCTAAGCCCGAACTATTGGAAATGTGATCTAAAACAAGATACCTTCAATCATACATGGTGGTTGTGCCCTAAAACAAAAAAATATTTGAAGAATTACATAGATGGTTACAGGAATTAACAGGACTTCAGATAGAATATACCTAGGAACTATTTCTCCTAGGGATAGTTAAAGGGAAATATGACAAAAGAATAATATATATCATTTTACATATAATAACCGCAGCAAGGATAGCTTTTGCGCAATGCTGGAGAAATACAAACATACCTTCCGAAGGTTTAGTAATTAAAAAAATATTTGATTGCGCAGAAATGGACAAATTGACAATTGAACTGAAAGGACAAATAGATTCGGAATACTACGCCATATGGGAGAAGTGGTACGACTGGATTGAGAACCGAAAAATGGAAAAGAAATAGACAAAATAGAAGTAGAATTAAAATGTATAATAAAAATGTATTTGAATTGGAATGTTATGGTATGTAAATGGTCACAGTTATGCACAAGACGCGAGTAAGATTTAATTGTAAAAATGCAATAAAAATAAAAAGAAATATCTTTTTCCTCTAACCTGGCCCATTTCCTGAGACCCTGCCACGATCCCTTTAAAGGGGAAGGGTCTTGAGTCAGTGGCAAAGCTGGTGGCAGACGTGAGACCCTTCCTAAGTGAAGGGAAGCCGGAAAACTACTAAGCTGGAAAACAGACGTTTCCTGCTGCAGAACTTCCGCTGATAATGTGGTTTATATCAAGGAAAGGGGGAAGGAAGGCTGGAGGAGGGTGGAGGGAAGGCCAGCCACATCCTTTTTGCTGGAGGAATGGAGTGAAGCATTCTGGGAACTGGGTTTTTTTGGGGGGTGGGGAAGAGGGAATCCAGGGAAATGCCCCCAAAGTTAGATCTTCCAGTTTTCCCAACCTGGATGTTTATAAGCCTCTTTGAGTACAGGCAACTTGCAACTGTTCCGTTTAGGGACCGGTCCTCGCAGTTACGCATTGCAGCAATCCCCGTGGTTATGTAATCAAATTTGGTTGCTTAGAAACCGACAGGCATTGCAGCATCCTGGCTCATGGGTCGCCGTGATTGATGGATTTGCTTTAACGACCACCTGATTCGCTTAACAACCGCAGCGATTCGGTTATACGCTGTGGCAAAACGGTCGTAGATCCGTGCGGTCGTTAAACAAATCCTCCGTGGATTGTTGGAAGCCGGCTAGGAAGATTGCAAATGGTGGTCATAGGTCTCCAGGATGCTGCAATCGTTGTAAAATACAGGCCAGTTGCCAAGGCCCGAATTTTGATCATGTGATGCTGCAACGGTCGTAAGTGCGAGAAAAGCCATGCTTTTCAGCGCCCTTGCGGCTTTGAATGGTCACAAAATGAATGGTTGGGAGGGCTACTTGTATTTTTACAAGCCCTTCTGTCCTTTATCTGGGTCTCCATTTCAAAAGGTGCCAATTCGTCTCACAAAGCTCACTTCGTTTGGTCGCAGAACGAATCACACAGACGGAGCTGATGTTTACAGTGGCACCTACAGGTAGTCCCTGACTTACGACCAGCGCGGAGCCCCAGATTTCCGTTGCTTAAGTGAGACACTTGTTAAGTGAGCTTTGCCCCGTTTTACGACCTTTCTTGCCTACGGTTGTTAAGCAAATCAGTGTGGTTGTTCAGTTAACAATGTGGTCGTTAAGTGAATCTAGCTCCCCATTGACTTTGCTTGTTAGAAGGTCACAAAAGGGGGATCATGTGATCCCGGGACGCTGCAACCATCATAAATATGAGTCACTTGCCAAGCGTCCAAATTTTGATCGCACAATGGTTGTAAGTGTGAAAAAGGTCATAACTCACTTTTTTTAGTGCCGTTGTAACTTCAAATTGTCACTAAACGAATTGATGTAACTCAAGGACGACCCGTACTGCTAAACCAAGACATTTTAAGTGAGTTTTGCTCCATTTTGCGACCTTTCTTGACACGGTCGTTAAGCGAATCACTGATGTTGTTGAGTTAATCCCACCGTTGTTAAGTGAATCTCATTCCCCATTGATGTTGCTTGTCCGAAGTCCCAAAAGGGGATTGCATGACTGCAGGATGCTGCAACCATCATTAATATGAGTCAGTTGCCAAGCGTCCGAATTTTGATAACGTGACCACGGGGGATGTGCTGCAACGGTTGTTAAGTGTGAAAAATGGTCCTAAGTCATTGTTTTCAGTGCTGTTGTAACTCCGAACGGTCACTCAATGAATGGTTATAAGTCGAGGACTTCCTGTACTTTTAAAGGTCTGCCAGGGCTGCCCATCCAGAATTTGCTTTGATTTGCAATTTTTTTTAAATTTTGATTTATATGCCGCCCTTCTCCGGAGACTCAGGGGGGCTTACAGTGCGTTAAGCAATAGCCTTCATACTTTTGAATATTTATACAAAGTCAGCTTATTGCCCCCACAATCCGGGTCCTCATTTTACCTACCTTAGAAAGGATGGAAGGCTGAGTTAACCTTGAGCCTGGTGGGATTTGGACTTGCAGTAATTGCAGGCAGCTGGTCTTAATAACAGGGTGCTTTAGACCACTGTACTACCAAGGCTCCAAGAATTAAAAAGTGAATTTAATTCACTTTTGGAACACAACGTTAGGGAAGATGCGATGCCATCCCAGGCCGGTCTCACCCTTTTGTGATGAAGGTGGCATGCAGGCAGCGGTGCACGGAAATGATTGTGTGTCTCTAGTGTGTGTTGTGTTGTGTTTTCAGCCTGGGGGCCCATAAGCAAGAGCCTCTCCCTCTCTCTTTGAATATTCTTTGCTGGGAAACCCATTTTAAAAAGTTTTTTTTCCCCTCTTGTCTCTTGCAATCAACCCAAGGGAAGCCCTGTCTGCCTGCCTGCCTGCCTGCCTGGGCAGATCCCTTTTTGATCCCTGCAGGATCAAGGCAAACAGCTGGCGGCTTTGTTCCTCCCCCCTCCCTTTCCCTTCCCCTCCCCTCCCCAAAACACACAAGGGCACATTTCCTTCTTCTCCTTTGCCTGGCCTTTGGGGCAAAGATGGCGAGGGACCGGGGGGGGGGGCGCTCTGGGACATCCTGGGACTCAGGAGGGGGTGTCCCCCTTTAAAATAATAAACTAAAGTTTTGTTTTGGAGTGTGGGGGGGACGGGAGAACGGAGCAGCTGAATTAAGCCGGTTTAACTTTTGCAAGAGTTTGGCAGGAAGCATTTCTTAACTGTAGCAACGTCAAAATGAATGGACTTCAACTCCCAGAATTCCCCAGCCAGCCAGCCAGCCAGCCAGCCATGCTGACTGGGGAATTCTGGGAGTTGAGGTCCACCCAATTTATAGCTGCTAAGTTTGAAAAATACTGACTTAAATACGGACCAATAGGATATAGGTCATAGCTGGGAATTTCCTAGGCAGCCTGCTTTCAGGTGGGTGGACTTCAATTCCCAGAATTCCCCAGCCAGCCATATTTATTTATTTATTTATTTATTTATTTATTTATTTATTTATTATATTTCTATACCGCCTTTCTCCCGTAGGACTCAAGGTGGTGTACAGTCAACAAAAATATAGATACACAAACATCATAAAATTGCTAATTAAAATTATTATTATAACATAGTTTGGCCCAATTAAATTAAATTAGATAACATTTTAAAAACATTCACAATATGTTGAAGTCCACATGTTTTACAGTGGCCAAAGTTGGAAACACTGGTCTAACTAGGCCCGAAAAAAGGAGATTTTTCTGAAGAATTGAAGTCCATCCATCTTAAAGCCTGCTGGCTGGGGAATTATGGGAGTTGAAGTCCACCCATCTTAAAGCCTGCTGGCTGGGGAATTATGGGAGTTGAGGTCCACCCATCTTAAAGCCTGCTGGCTGGGGAATTATGGGAGTTGAGGTCCACCCATCTTAAAGCATGACGGATGGGGAATTATGGGAATTGAGGTCCACCCATCTTAAGGCATGCTAACTGGGGAATTCTGGGAGTTGAAATTTTGACTCAGCCTGCAAAAAAAAACTTTTAAAATGGGAACATTGCAACTGTGAGGTAAATCTTCTCATTTGGGATCCAAGAAAATGGGAGATCTGTTTGCAGAGATGAAGTTTGGTTTGGCTGAAAGTTGCCTCCCTGGGAAATCTCTCCCGCAGGTTAAGATGAAAAGAGAAAAGAACATCCGTTGGACGATGGATCTGACCTTGACCAACGGGGACTGCAGCGACTCGGACCCTGCCCCCGAGGAGAACGATGCTGCAGGTACCTTTGCGCCCAGGAGGCCATCAAGTTTGGGGAAGGCTGGAGCCCCTGCTTGACCCTGGGGTCATCACTCAGGTGCTGGAAAGTGGGTGGGCTTGCCTTGTCTGGGGGCGAAGGGAAGGAAGGGACCCAAAGGACTTCCTTCCAGAAAGTCCAGTTGCCTCTTGAAAAAGCACCTTTGGGACAAACCTGGAGGACCTGGAGAATCTCCATAGAGGGAGGGAGAAAGGAGGTAGAAGAGAAGGGAGGGAGGGAAGGAGGAAGGAGGACGAAAGGAAGGAAGGAAGGAGGAAGGGAGGATAAAGAAGGAAGGAGGAAGAAAAGAGAAGGGAAGGAGGGATGGAAGGCAGGCAGGCAGGAAGGAAGGAGAACAGAGGGAGGAATAAAAAGAGGAAGAAAGGAAGGAGGAGAGAGGGAGAGATGAAGGAGGGAGGAGGGAGGGGAGAGTAAAAAGGAAGGGGAGGGAAGGGAGGAAGGAGAAGCTAGGTAGAATAAAAAGGGAGGGAGGATAAAGAAGGAAGGAGGGAGGAAGGAAAGGGAAGGAGGGATGAAAGGCAGGCAGGAAGGAGAATGGAGGGAGGATAAAAAGAGGAAGAAAGGAAGAGGAGAGAGGGAGAGATGAAGGGAGGGGAGAGTAAAAAAGGAAGGAGAAGCTAGGGAGAATAAAGAGAGGGAGGAAGAAAGGGAGGGAGGATAAGGAAAGAGGGAGGAAGAAAAGGGATGGAGGAAGAAGGAAGGAAGGAAAGAGAAGGGACGGAGGATAAAGAGGAAGAAAGAAAGAGAGGGAAGGAAGGAAGGAGGAGGGAGAGTAAAGAGAGAGGAAGGAACAAAATAAGGAACAAAAGAAGGAAGGAGAAGAGAAAGTTTGGGTGGAACATGTGTTAGAAGAAGCTCCTTGGGTCAAAGAAGGAGACATCTTGATAGTCTCCAGATCTGCTTGGTTAGGAAAGGACCAACCTTGACAACTGAAGTCCACCCATCTTCAAGGTTGAAAAACGCTACTCTTGGAGCCTCCCAGGAATCTCTCACCTGGGAAGTAGTCCTTGACATGTGACCACAATTGGGACCAGACCTTTAAGTGAGACAGTTATTATCTGAGTCACACCCAATTTCACAACCTTTCTTTGCTTAACAACCGCCACATAAAAGGTTATAAAATTGGATGTGACTCAGATAATGACCATCTCACTTCGTGACGGCTGTGGTTGCAAGTCGAGGGCGGCCTGCACTTTGTGAACCCAGGAAAGGCCATTTTTGCTTGGCCAGGTGCCCGCAGAGAGTTGGAGGCACGTGGAGCCTCTGACGGGCTTCAGAAGTAGACGTCTTGCAGTTGCAGAGAGGAAGAAGAGAAGGATGGGAGACCACCAGGAGATCTTTGGCTGCCGGGCTGGATCTCAGGCAGGCAGTCGTGGGAACTTCCAGCACTGAAATCCTTTTGGAGAAGCCAAATTCGTTGAACGGGCTTAGAACTGGGAAGCTGTTGGGGATTTCTGCAGAAAGGAAATCCCGGGTGTCAAACCTCAGGCCCAGCTCCCTCTTAGTGACGGATGCTTTCTTTGCGCAGACGCCAGCCAGGCGGAAAGTGTGACCTCTGGGATAAAGGAGGAGGAGGAAGAGGAGGCTGATGACATCCCCAAGCAAGTCCGAGAGGTGAGCCAAAGACAGGATGTGCTCGTTTAGGCTAGTGGTTAAGGCACCAGGCTAGAGAGCGGGAGATTGTGAGTTCTAGTACTGCCTTAGGGATGAAAGCAGGCTGGGTGACTTTGAGCCTATTGGTAGGAGATGGCGAGTTCTAGTCCTTCCTTATAGGCATATGGGCTGGCTGGTTGAGTCTGGGCCAATCACCAGGAGCCAGTGAATTCTAGTCCCGCCTTAGGTGTGAAAGCCAATTGGTTGAATCACCAGGAGATGGTGAGTTCTAGCCTTGCCTTAGGTGTGAAAGCCAATTGGTTGACTTTGGGTCAATCACCAGGAGATGGTGAGTTCTAGTCCCACCTTAGCTGTGAAAGCCAATTGGTTGACTTTGGGTCAGTCACCAGGAGATGGTGAGTTCTAGTCTCGCCTTAGGCATGAAAGCCAGCTGGGTGACTTTGGGCCAGTCCCTCTCTCTCTCTCTCTCTCTCAGCTCAGCCCACCTCACAGGGTTGTTTTTGTGGGGAAAAGAGCAGGAGGAAACTGTTCACCGCCTTGAATTGTCTGTAAAAATACTAAAGGTGAGGTATAAATTAAATAAATATGTCGATAGTTAATTGATTTGGGGAGCATCGGAAAATGCATTTCTTCCCTGGGAGTGATGGTTTTGGGGTGGGTGGGCTCAATCTTCCTGTTTTTGATGAGGGAAAGGGTAGCCTTTAAAGCTGATTTGGGTTCCTGCCCAAGAGTGAGAAAATATTGGACAAAAATACACACCTGGCTGGAAAAAAATGATAAATCTACATATAGATCTGAAACCATAGAGATATTTCTGCTGGGCATATTCTGCCAGAAAAATATGACAAAAAGACTGCATATTTGATTTTGCACATATTAACGGCAGCCAGATGAGACCCCATCTCAGGATAATGTAATTAAAAAAACATTAGGCTGTGCAGAAATGGATAGATTAACACTTGCTATTAAGGATAAAGAAGAAACTGAATATTTTTTTGATATGGGACACATTTTATCAATGGCTTGATAATAGAAACAGAAGTTAGAAAGGAAGAGATATAAAGGGAGGAAATGGTATAGAGGAGAGTTTGTTAAAGAAGACGATGTTCAATGTTAAATGCATTAAGGTTATTATATCATATTATTTTTTTATTTTATTTTTTTAATTTGATTTATATGCTGCCCTTCTCCGGAGACTTAGGGCGGCTTACAAGGCGCTAAGCAATAGCCTTCATCCTTTTGTATATTTTATACAAAGTCAGCTTATTGCCCCCACAAACTGGGTCCTCATTTCACCTACCTTAGAAAGGATGGAAGGCTGAGTCAACCTTGAGCCTGGGGAGATTCAAACCTGCAGTAATTGCAGGCAGCTGGTCTTAATAACAGGGTGCTTTAGACCACTGTACTACCAAGGCTCTTATATTATTATATTATTAATACCATGGTGATGACTAAATATAATGAAGATGTATAAATATGACTTATCAAAATATAATTGTACCCAGAATACACACAGTTTGATGAAAATTGAGTGTTATATAAATAAAAGAAATAAAACGTGGGGGGGAAAAAACCCCTGATTCGGGGGTCCTTAAGGAAGAATCAGACCCTCGGATCCTGATGTTTTCCTCCCCTCGGGGGTCCCAGGTCCCGGTGCGAGGAAACGCTGGCTGGGAGAACAGCCTGAGGCAGAAACCAGCACCCCGGATCGTCTTCCAGGCTGGTCCCGTCTCGCAGGAGAAGAAAGTCAAAGACGATGTGGAAAGCATCGAAGGCTTCAAGGAACGTCACAAAATCAGGGTAAGGAGGTTTTTTTCTCCTTTTTTTTTTTAAAAAAAAAATTCAAAACTCATTGCAAAAAGCAAAGAAGAAAAATATAGGTAGTCCTCGACTTACGACAGTCCATTTAGCGACCGTTCAGAGTTACAACAGGTACTTAGGGCCGTTTCTCACACTTACGACCGTCGCAGGGCTCCCCGTGGTCACGTGATCAAAATTCAGCCGCTAGGCAACTGTCTCATCTTTACGACGGTCGCAGGGTTCCATGGCCATGTGGATCCCCTTTTGCGACCGTCTGACGAGCCAAGCCAACAGGGAAAGCCGGATTCGCTTAACGACCATGTTGCTGTCTTAACAACCGCAGGGATTCACTTAACACCTGTGGTAAGGAACGGTCGTTAACATGGAGCAGAACTCGCTTCACAAATGTCTCGCTTAGCAACATAAATTTTGGGCTCCCTTGTGGTCGTACGTCGAGGACTACCTCAACCTAATAAGATTACCTGCACACACCATGATAAAAGAATGAGAAAAAGTGAAGGAATCGAAGTAGTTTTTCTGAAAACTAAAAAGACAAAAACAAAAAAAAAGAAAAAGAAAAAAAAACACTGGAAGAAAAAGTTGAAGTAGTCCTCGACTTATGACCACTCACTTAGTGACCATTTGAAGTTGTGATAGACTTATTACAAATGGGATTCGAAGTTCCAGCAGTCCTACCTCCCCCCTACTTATGATTACATTTTACAACAGCTTTGCCTAAAAACCAGAAATAAAATCCTGCTCATAGCGGAAAATTGGTCTGCTTAACAACTGTGGGATTCACTTAAAAACCGTCACAAAAAAAGATCATAGGGCGTGGTTTGATCACGTCACCAACCTGCTTCCCAACTGCCATGAAGTATGACCGTGATTGGCAGGTTCCATTACGGTCGTAAGTCGAGGACTACCTGTGTGAGCCAATCACCAGGAGACAGTGAGTTCTAGTCCTACCATAGACACAGAAGCCAGCTGGGTGACTTTGGCCAGTCACCAGGAGACGGTGAGTTCTAGTCCTACCATAGACACAGAAGCCAGCTGGGTGACTTTGGGCCAGTCACCAGGAGACGGTGAGTTCTAGTCCTACCATAGACACAGAAGCCAGCTGGGTGACTTTGGGCCAGTCACCAGGAGACGGTGAGTTCTAGTCCTACCATAGACACAGAAGCCAGCTGGGTGACTTTGGGCCAGTCACCAGGAGACGGTGAGTTCTAGTCCTACCATAGACACAGAAGCCAGCTGGGTGACTTTGGGCCAGTCACCAGGAGACGGTGAGTTCTAGTCCTACCATAGACACAGAAGCCAGCTGGGTGACTTTGGGCCAGTCACCAGGAGACGGTGAGTTCTAGTCCTACCATAGACACAGAAGCCAGCTGGGTGACTTTGGGCAGTCACCAGGAGACGGTGAGTTCTTAGTCCTACCATAGACACAGAAGCCAGCTGGGTGACTTTGGGCCAGTTCACCAGGAGACGGTGAGTTCTAATTTTAGCATGTCTGGCTGGGGAATTCTGGGAGTTGAAGTCCACAGGGCTCAAAGGTTGGCATTTTCTTGGTATAAGCAAGGACCGTCTGTTTCTTGGTTGAAGTGCCCTCCTTCGCCTCTTTTCTGCATGGGGGACTCAGTTTTCCCTTCCTTTCCAGCACTCGAAAAGGCTTTCTGGGTGTATCCAGAAAAACTACTCGGAAGAGGAGAATTCCCGGCAGCAGGAAAACTCCGAGGTCACAAATGGCTGTGACTACCGAACAGCAAGAAGGACGGCAGAATACCAGGTGGGTGAGGGACTCTGCGTGGGCTTCGGGAGCGAATTTAAAAGTTTTTCAAGGAGACACCCACATTAAGTTAGTCTGCCCGTGTTATTGCAGGAAATGAGTGTTGAGGGTGAAACTGCCGTCTGCTAGGTAGTGCAACGGACCAGACAGCGAATAGATACGATGCTTAGCAAAACACACAGATAGTCACAGACTCTGAACGTTTAAAGAAAAATAAACAGTCTTTACTTGTAGTATAAAAACAAACTTGGCTTCTCAAAACAACTTCTTCAAACAATCACGGTTTAACACAAAACATAGTTTGCTTTACAATTCCAGTTCTCTTCAAACACAGACACAGTTCCTTCCAGCAGTTCAACCTTCAATAGCAGGAGCAGGAGCAGAAGTGAGCGAACTTCCTGCCTTCTTTTATGTCTGCTTAGCACAGCCAATTAGTCATCTTTGTAGCAGTTAAAGTTACAGAACATAGTTTTCTATATATTACCTACCCAACCGTAGGATAAGCATCCAACAATGAGCGCTCTCCAAAATAGTTTCAAGATTTTAAGTTTGAACCAAAAATCCATTCCTTATTTATTTATTTTATTTATTTATTTTGTCGCATTTCTATGCCGCCCAACTCCCAAGGGACTCTGGGAGTTGAGCGGCATAGAAATGGATAAACCATCCTAAACATCCAATTTGAAAACGGAGAACTGATTTGGGCCGGTCTTTTAAGGGTCCTTGCGTCACATTGTTCCAAGGAGAGATTTTAAGATATATATGTCTGCTGCATTCCCCCAGTCAACTAAATAAGTTATCGGGTTAAAAAAAATAAGATGGGCTTATGTTGCCTTCTGTGAATTTCTTCCTCATTTTCAAGGGGATAATCGACTGAAGTCTGTATGGTCTGTTGTAAAATCTTCCCAAGGTTTGCTAAAGAGAATCAGTTTGGGCAAGTGGTTTTGGCTAGAAAGTGGGAGACGGTGAGTTCCAGTCCTGCCTTAGGCATGAAAGCCAGCTGGGTGACTTTGGGCCAATCACCAGGAGACGGTGAGTTCTAGTCCCGTCTTAGGCATGAGAGCCAGCTGGGTGACGTTGGGCCAATCACCAGGAGACGGTGAGTTCCAGTCCCGCCTTAGGTATGAAAGCCAGCTGGGTGACTTTGGGCCAATCACCAGGAGATGGTGAGTTCTAGTCCCCCCTTAGGCATGAAAGCTGGCTGGGTGACTTTGGGCCAATCACCAGGAGACGGTGAGTTCTAGTCCTGCCTTAGGCATGAAAGCCAGTTGGGTGACTTTGGCCAGTCCCTCCCTCTCTCAGTCCAACCCACCTCACAGGGTGGTTGTTGTGGGGAAAATAGGAGGCAGAAGGAGTATTGTGTGCGTTTGCTTCCTTGAGTTATTTGTAAAAATAATAAAGGAAGGAACTAAATAAAATAGTTAACAATATAAATAGCAAAATAAGTAAATAGGCTGTAAATAGCAAAGTAACAAAATAAATAACTAACAAACATGTAGCAAAATAAATAAATAACAATAACAAAATAAACAAGAAATAAAAATAAGAAAATAAATTACAAATAAGAAAATAAATAACAAATAAAACAGATAACTTGATGCTCTTCGTCAAGAATGAATGATTGAAGTATCCGAATAAGAAGATTCATATAGCTTATGAATGAAATAATATTAAGTAGTTTATGTTTGTTTTTTCTGAGTTATAAGGAGTTAAGGACCTAGGGAGAATATGAAATGTAATAATTTGTTAGCACATTTTAGTTCTTGGTTTGTGAATGCTATATCCTGTGCTCGTTTTGGGAAGTCTAGGGAGGGGGGTGGGGGGAGGGAGGGGAAGGGAGGGTGGGAAGGGGAGGGGGGGTTGAGGGGGGAAGGGTGGGGGTGTGAAAATGTTTGTATTTTTCATAAAACTTTTCAATAAAAAAAAAAAAGAATGAATGATTTTTAGCAATGCTGGGGCTGGAAAACAAGACTCCAATCCTTGCTAACCAACTTTGTTGCTCTGAGTAATTTGTTTCTTTTATTCACTGATTAAATTGATATGACACTCATCACACTGTCCAACAACTCTGGGCAGGTCGACTTTTATTTATTTATTTATTTATTTATTTATTTATTGGTTCAATTTATATGCCGCCCTTCTCCGGAGACTCAGGGCGGCTTACAATGCATTAAGCAATAGCCTTCATACTTTTGTATATTTATACAAAGTCAGCTTATTGCCCCCACCATCCGGGTCCTCATTTCACCTACCTTAGAAAGGATGGAAGGCTGAGTCAACCTTGAGCCTGGTGAGATTCGAACTCGCAGTAATTGCAGGCAGCTGGCAGCTAAGTGCTACTTAACAGCACTTTAGTCCACTGCACCACCAAGGCTCTTGAGTTGCATCCGTGGGGTTGCCCCCTAACCTTAACCGACCCCCTCCCCCTTGTTCAACCTTCCCCTTGTTTCTGTTTGACTCGCAGGACGGAAAAGGCTTTGGAATCGGGGAACTGGTCTGGGGGAAGATCAAAGGCTTCTCCTGGTGGCCGGCCATCGTGGTGTCCTGGAAGACGACCTCCAACCGCCAGGCGGCCCCTGGCATGCGCTGGTTGAAATGGTTTGGGGACGGAAAGTTTTCGGAGGTGAGGGGCGTGGAAGGGGAGGGGGATAGTTGAGAAGACGGTCAGTCCCTTTGGCTCTCATATCTTATTCATCTATCATTTTCTTAAGCTGTGGTTTGTGGAATCAAAACACAACTAGCTGGGTTCCGACACTTTAAACCACGAATGATGGTTTACACATCACTGTTTTTTTTGTAGAGACCAACTGAAAGCAATTTTCCAACTTAGATGTATTTTTAATATATTTTCAAGAAAGCTTGCAGTCAAATTTATTTCCTGGTTTACGATTTGATAATAAATTGCATGGAAAAGTGCTTTCCCCACCCGACCCCAAGTCAGTATGTACAAAATACTATATAAAATTCCGCCAGGCCGGGCTATCAACATAATAATTTTAAATTGGGGTATTAAAAATTTTTGGGGTTTTAAATCAGCCAAATCTATTTAATTATTTTAATTTTTAATCATTGTTGTGTCTTGTGTTTTTAAATTGGCTGTACACCGCCCTGAGTCCTTCAGGAGAAGGGCGGTATAGAAATAAAATTATTATTATTATTATTATTATTATTATTATTATTATTATTATTAAAATATACATGGCCTTTTGAATCTTAAACTTGAAAGTTTGAACAATTAACCAGTGGAACAGCTTGCCACCAGAAGTAGTATGAGCTTCATCACTGGAGGTTTTTAAGAAGAGACTGGACAAACATCTGTCTGGAATGGTATAGGATCTCCTGCTCAAGCATGGGGCTGGACTAGATGACCTCCAAGGTCCCTTTGAACTCTGTTATTCTGTATTCTGTATGAATACCACACTTATCACTACAAAAATGAGAATGGGTCTGGAGGCTAAAACGTATGAAGAATGGTTGCGAGAAACGGGTATGTCGAACCTAATGAAGAGAAGGATTAGGGGTCACTTGACAGGAGTCTTCCAATATTTGAGGGGCTGCTACAGAGAAGAAGGGGCCAATGTATCCTCCAAAGCACCCGAACCCAGAACAAGAAGCAATGGATGGAAACTAATCAAGGAGAGAAGCAACATGGAATTAAGGAGAAATTTCCTGACAGAATAATTGACCAGTGGAACTACTTGCCTCCAGAAATTGTGAGTGCTCCATCACTGGAGCTTTTAAAAAAGAGACTGGACAGCCAATTTGTCTGAAATGGTATAGGTCTCCTGCTTGAGCAGGGGGTTGGACTAGAAGACCTCCAAGGTCCCATCCAATTCTGTTATTCTGTTATTTCCCTTCCTGTAACAGAATAACAGAGTTGAAAGTCTTCTAGTCCAAACTGCAGAGGTGGGGATATTAAAGGAGGTCATGGAAATTCACGGTAAAGAAGTCACCAAGTTTGCCTGATTTTAGACACGGTTCACTACGTCACCTGTTCAAGGAGAGCTGCTGAAAGGGACATCAGAGGTCTTCTAGTCCACCCTATGGTCAAGCAGGAGACCTTATACCATTCCAGACAAACGGCTATCTAATCTTTTCTTGAAAACCTCCCGTGATGGAGAACCCACAACTTTCAAGGACCGGATTTCTTAGTGTTGTTTGCAACAGGGTTTGTTAAACTGCCCTGAATTATGTGCCTATCGGTCCATCCATCCCACTAGTCCTCAAGAGGGCTCTTTGCGGGAGGTTGGCAATGGGCATGTCCGTGCCTTTTTGTTGTTTTTTTTTGCAGTTTTCAAACCCAGTTTAGTTTTAAAAAAAAAAGGATGGCAAAAAACCTGTTGTTGCTAAGTAATTTATGTATTTGTTAAATTTGTCACCTATCTCGCTGTGGGGCTACTCTAGGTGGCCTACAATGATAAAAAGAAGGGGGGGGGGGAAATGAAAGCTGGCTGGGGAATCCTGGGAGTTGAAGTCCATCCATCTTCAAGTGGTCCCAGAGTTGGGGAGTTGTCAAGTTTTGAGGTCGTCTCAAATAAATTGCATTTCAAACGAAGTCTTTGATGAAAAACTCCCATTTTATTAAGCATGACATTCTAACCCGACTCCAATCGAAGCCAACACTGACTTCCAGCCCCCAAACCCTCCCTTTCTGTTCCCCACTCCCCTGCACTCATTGGCCATCTTCCAAGTCACTCTACCCCTAATCTACTGCTCCAGCTCAAAGGAATTTCCCCCCTCCCATCCCATCTCCTAGGGGATATTATCTCCAGGGAAAATAAGTAGGTGAAAAGTCAAACGTCCCTTTCCAGACGCCTCCGCTTCTCCTTCTTATGTCAGCACTAGAGTAAATGAAGCTTGAAGTGCTGACAGGAGTTGAGGATTCTGCCCTGGGGTGGGGTCTTTTCTTGGATGGCTGGGATAAAGAGACGAAGGTCAGAGTGGTTGGGTCCAGTCGCTTTCTCCTTATTGAATCATGGTGGCGCAGTGGTTAGAGTGCAGTACTGCAGGCTACTTCTGCTGACTGCTGACTGCCTGCAATTTGACAGTTCGATTCTCACCGGATCCAGGTTGACTCAGCCTTCCGTCCTTCCGAGGTTGGTAAAAATGAGGACCCAGATTGTTGGGAGAAAGAGGCTGACTCTGTAAACTGCTTAGGGAGGTCTGTGAAGCACTATGAAGCGATATATAAGTGTAAGGGCTATTGCTTGTGAAGGAAAGAAAAAAGGAAGGGAGGGAGGGAGGCAGGCAGGCAGGCAGGCAGGCAGGCAGGCAGGTAGGCAAGGTGACCCAGTGGTTAGAATGCCATATTGCAAGTTAACTCTGCCGACTGCCAGCAGTTCGATCTTGACTGGCTCAAGGTTGACTCAGCCTTCCGTCCTTCCGGGGTGGTGCAGTGGTTAGAGTGCAGTACTGCAGCCTAATTCTGCTCACTGCCTGCAATTTGGCAGTTCGAATCTCACCAGGCTCAAGGTTGACTCAGCCTTCCGTCCTTCCGAGATGGGTAAAATGAGGACCCAAATTGTTGCGGGGCAAGAGGCTGACTCTGTCGACCGCTTAGAGAGGGCTGGAAAGCACTGCGAAGCGGTATATAAGTCTAAGGGCTATTGCTATTGTTGCAGATCTCCGCTGACAAACTGGTGGGTCTGGTACATTTCCGGGAACATTTCAACCCCGCCACGTTTCAGAAGTTGGTGTCCTACCAACAATCCATTCTCCATGTTTTGGAGGTAAGAAGGGGCTGGGTGGAAAGAAAACAGGAGACCACCAATCATTCCACAGTCGCCCCACCCTCAGAGAGCCCCAAAGACCCCTCAGTCGTTCTCTTCTTCCTCCTCCTCTCTGCAAACTCCCCTCTCTTCTAGCACTGATGATGTTCCCTAGTTGGGCCATGAAACATCTGCCGGGGGGTTAGGGAGGGGGGGAGGGGGGGGAAAAAGGGGGAAAAATTTGTATTTGAAAACCTTTTCAATAAAAAAAAAAAAAAAAGAAAATTGGTGTTATAAAAACTGATGAAAATTTGGTAAAACAAATTAGAGATCAAGGTCAATCGCATATAAAAAGGTTATATAATGCATTGATAGAAATAGATTCAGAAACTGAATTAGTTAAAGATTGTATGATAAAATGGGCACAGAATATCCAGGAACCAATAATGATGAAAACTTGGGAAAAATTTGGGTTAGAAATGTAAAATTTACACAAGCACAAAACTTGAGAGAAAATTTTTATAAAATGCTTTATAGATGGCATCTAGATCCTAAAAAATTAGCATGTATGTACCCGAACCAACAACCTAAGTGTTGGAGATGTGATTGTGATGATGCAACTTATTATCATATATGGTGGACATGTAAAAAAGTTAAAGCTTTCTGGATAAAAATATGGTGGATTATTCAGAAGATTTTTAAGAAAAAGATAAGTTTCACCCCACAGTTATTTTTGCTAGGTATTATCTCAGACTGTACTGTTATTGAAACTAACTTGATGTTAAATGTAATAACGGCAGCAAGACTGTTAGTGGCGCGATATTGGAAGAAAGAAGATTTACCTACTATAGAAGAATGGACATTAAAAGTATTGAACTTAGCAGAAATGGCGAAAATCTCAGCATATTTGAAAGACCAATCACAAAAAAGATATATTGTGGACTGGAGAAGATGGATTGATTATATTCAAAACAAATATGGGACTAAAAAGTTTCAAATAGTATATGAATGAATATTTGGATTTAAGAAGATATGTTATTACTTAGCTACGTAAATAGAGAGTTAAAGTGAAAAAGGGATGAAAAGAGTTTATAGATAGTTAGCATATGTTAGATTAAGGTTGCTAAATGAAATACCCTCTATTTCACTCTGGGAAGTTGGGGGGAGAAGGGGAGGGGGGAGGAGTAATGGGGAGGGAGGTGGGGCTCAAAACTTGGTTAAAATGTTTGTAAAAACTTTTCAAAAAAAAAAAGAAGAAGTAGGACCCAAACTGATAGAACAAATTGAGGAATATGGACGTGGCAAGATTGAAAATTAATAAAGATAAAACAAAGATATTGGTGAAAAACATCACTGAGAAACAGAAAAGAAAATTAATGGAAAAATTAGACATTGAGATTACTAAAAAAAGTAAGATATTTCGGAATACAATTAACAGCAAAGTGTGCAATGATCAAAGAAGATAATTACTATAACTTGAAAGGGCAAATCGAAACAGATCTGGGAAAGTGGGGAAAGTTGCAACTTTCATTAATGGGAAGAATAGCAGTAATTAAGATGAATATATTATCCAGACTGCTGTTCTTATTTCAGACAATACCAATAAAATTGGAAAAGAAATATTTTGAAAACTTGAATAAAATGATATTGAAATTTATATGGCAGGGGAAAAAGCAAGAATTAATATGAAAATGTTACAAAATCAAGACTTAAGAGGAGGATTTGGATTACAAAACTGGGAACTATATTATCAAGCAGCAGTATTATCTTGGAATAAAAAAATGGATTGTGTTGAGAAACACAAGACTATTAACCTTGGAGGGACATGATCTACAACTGGGTTGGCACGCTTTTTTATGGTATGGGAAGAACAAGATGCATAGCTATTTTCAAAGGCACTTGTTCTGCCCCAGCTACGGAACCCAAGAAATGTAGCACACACAAAACTCCGAACAACTCGGTTTACAAACACAGTCTTTTTCAAATGCAGGCTATTACTAAAAATGTCCTTAACAGCCTACCAGAAATTCCAAAGATTAGATAAAGGCTTATAAGAGTTGGCAATTAGCCCATAAACCAGGTTTGCAAGGAAAATTTACTCTCAAATGCTCAACGCACGACCGGATGAACACACATTGTTTCCTGCAATGTTTGCCAGCTGTGTGCAAACTTAAATAGGCCAAGGGAGAGGCCAATTAGCCCCAAGCCTTATTCTTGAGGAGACCTCCTCCTGAGATACTCCTGCCTTTTGGCAGTGCTGCATGCTCGTGCATTGAGAAGAGGTTCCTCCACTTCACTCTCTTCACTTGGAGGAGCCTCTGGAGGATCTGAAAGCCCTGGCTGAATCTCTGCCTCTGGCACCACATCTTCTTCAGCCTCCTCACTGTCCAACTCGAGCGCCGGCTGCACAGGCTGCTGGCACAACACCACACCAGCCTCCTCGTCATCAGGATCAGCCACAATCCGCGCAGGCCACTGGCTGGCCACAACAGGAACGCATTATTATTAGTATGTGTGGAAATTGGGATTGTAGAAACACCCAGGAGCATAGAAGAGTCCAAAGGCAGATGCATGAATAAATGTGATAAATGTATTTATTCATATAACAAAACATATTAACTATGTACAAAGGCTGTCTTAATATCCATTAGGATAGGGGGCACACAGCGTGTGTGACTACCCTTATCAAAGATCATGTCTCATGGAGAACAAACGTAAAAGAGAGCATGGTGGAAAGGTTAGAGGGGGTTTTATACTCAGTGTAAGCCCCTCCTCTCCACATAAGGGTGGGGGCACTTCCTGCCTCCACTAGTGTCTGTATGATATATGTGCCAATGGCTTGCAAATACTTGACAGTTCCCCTCCTTGCGAGCCAATGGCATGCAAACATACAAATGCAATGCACAACAGATTTTACCCTGTGAGACATAACTTTTTACACAGATCTTTGTGCCTATCTGCTGGTAGAGGTTTTGTGAAAATATCAGCTGTTTGATATTTGGTCTGACAATGTGATAAAGATATAAACCCCATCTCTACTAGTTGCCTAACATTTTGATAGCGGATATCAATATGTCTGGACCTTTTCCCCACCGCATAGGCTTTGGCAATGCCTATGGCCCCGGTGTTGTCTTCTATAATTTGGATGGGCAAAGTCGGTGGTGTCCAGATGCTAGAAATTAAGGCATCAAACCATATCAGATCGTTCCCTGCCTCTGATAAGCATGCATATTCGGCCTCAGCGGTGGAGCACGAAACAAATTTCTGTTGCCCCACATGCCAATGGATGGGTGTCTCATTTAATAGTACCAAGAAGCCCGAAGTACTCCTACGTGTCTTGGTATCTCTGGCCCAGTCCGCATCCGCGAAGCATTTTAATTGGGCCTTGTCTCTATTCTCAGGTTCCAAGCGAAGCACGTAATCTGCTGTGGTCTTGAGATACCTTAATAGCTTTTTAATGGCCAACCAGTGGAACTGGGTAGGATGTTCCACTTGTCTAGATAGCAGGTTTACGGCCAGGGCAATATCTGGACGGCTCCAGTTACTTATATATAGTAATGAGCCGATCACTGACCTAAATAGAGTATTATTTTGGAACTCTGGGCTATCCTTGTGTGCCAATCCATAATAGTCGGTCTGCATTGGGATAGCCGTTGGCTTGCTATCTTCCATTTTACATTTCACCAAGAGTTCCTCTATCTTTTCCTTTTGGGAGAGAGCAAAACCTTTTGGTGTAGTGATGATTTGTACGCCTAGGTACTTGTCCACATATCCTAAAGACTTTAGAGTGAACTTTTTTTGTAGGGTCCTGGCAAATATAATACTTCCCCCTTGTCAGGCCCTATATATAAAAGATCATCGACATACACTAGGACTTTCTCCAGCCCCCCTTTGGTATCCCTTGTGAAGGTACATTTATCAGCTGGAGATGGATGGAAACCCAGTGATTTGAGAGTTTTAGTCAGGCATTTGTACCACAGTCTGCCTGATTGTTTGAGGCCGTACAAACTTTTCTTCAGAAGCCAGGTGTGGCCTTCCTGCCGTTGAAATCCAGGGGCACCTCTGACGTAAATTTCTTGTTTTAGATGTGCGTGTAAATAAGCAATTTGCACATCAAATTGAAAAATGTGTTCCCCATGTGCTGCTGCGGTGACCAAAGCAGCCCTCACACTTTCCGCTCTCACGGTGGGGGAGTATGTTTCATCAAAGTCCTGCAAGTAGCGCTGTGCGTAGCCTTGTGCTACCAGCCGGGCCTTATAGAGGAGTTTGTTGTTGGGCATTGGCTTGACCTTTTAGACCCAACGGGTGCCAATTGCTTTCCTCTTTTGGGGACTTCCATGGGGATGAAGACTTTCAATTTTTTGAGACTGTCCATTTCCCACTCCATTGCCACCCTCCACCTGCGCTGTTCTTCCTCGGGAAGCTGAAGGACATCTGAGTACGTTTTAGGGGCCATGGTAACGCTGTTGACCGAGGCAACACAGCCAATGTCCAACCTTTTGGGTGGCACCCCTTTATTGGAGCGTTTTTTGAAAAATATTGATGTAGTGTATAAAACCATGCAATTAGCTTCGGTAAGTTGTGTGATGTTCAAAGCCATTCTAGATTTAATTGCAAAGGAATCCCTCAATTCTCAGATCATGGTTTGCTAAACAAACTGTGGGGAGAAGTATCTCTCTGACTCACTTCCAAACTGGGAGAAAAGCATTGGGAACATGGAGGTTGATTGGAAAGATAGTTCATTGATGAAGCAGAAGCATCAGTGTGATTCTGGGCAGCTGACAAAATGGGAGTTGAGAGGGTTTTTTTTTTTATACCATTTTTTTAAAAAAGTTTTTTATTTTTTAAGCAAACAAACATTTAATACATCAGTTTTCTCTTCCCTGTGACATCTCGGTGTTATCTTCCAAAGTTCTTTCTTCTTCTGTATAGTTGTCATTTCTTCGATCTTGATCCTTATCCAGTCCATAATATCAATTCATCACTAACATAATATTCTACTCATCACATATTTATACATAAATATGTGACAAAATGGGAGTTGAGAGGGTTTTTTTTATACCTTCTTTGGACTCTGTATTTGAGCTTCCTGTTCCAGAACATGTCCTTTAATGTTCTATTGGCTGTTGTCAGTTTCCTATGGGGTTATGTAGGGTCATAGCTGGGTCTAGACTCTAGAGGCAAAAGAGGAAATGCAAATCCCAGGTGCTTGTCTGAGCTAATCTGGTCAACCTCTGGCTACTTAGGTGTGGGGCTGCTTCTAATCCTACTACTCTGCCTTTGTTCAGACTTTGCTTCAGGGAGTTTCAAAATATCCTGTCTTGAATGGATGGCTGCCTGCAGTCTTTGCTTTGCTTATGAATAGAGCTATCTAGATACTTGTTTTCCTCTTTCAATAAGCTCTTTCTCTCTTAAGTGTTGGCATCTGCTGTGGGCTATTAAGAAAGACCTGGGGGTTGCTTTCTTCCTCAAAAAACATATTTTTCCCTTTGGGGTAATATAATATTTTGCCTTTTTAATATTTCCCAAAATATTTCATTTTTGGGGGAGTGGGGGGAAGGGCTTCCCACAAAACCCACATGAACTAGTTCATACCTATTACTAAGCCATACATGGAAAAATTCAAAAGAGCTGCGTTTGTTCAACTTGCTGAATCTGATCAAAATGAACTTCAAAATAAATTCAAAATAAGGCAATTTCTCCTTACAGAATATTAAGCAAAATCACCCTCTGAAAAAAAATTATGCAAAGTTGATTTGGTTTAAATTGCGGGGTTTATTTCCACCCCATGGCCAAAGAGCTTAATATGTGGCAGGAGGATAAAGTAAGAGTGAATAACCCAAAGGATTTGGATTTAAAGCCCAGATTTAACCCTCTTGCAAAGCGTTAAAAGTATCTTTGCAATCAAATGGCCTTCCCTGCCCTTTCAGCCTCCAAGAAAATGAGCCGGAGGGAAAGAGCGCCCTAGGAAGGCAAAGCCGCTCTAGTACAGAACTCACTGCCCCGGCAGCGGCAGCCCAGCGGAAGCTCCTAAACCTCGATTGGCTGCTAAGGCCAGGCCACGCCCGCTCCTGCCAGAGCGCCGCCAATGGGGAACGGGAGCTGATCAAGCGTTGCCCGGCCTCTTCCGGCCAAAGGGCCGAAATGTGGGCAAGACGGGCTGAGGGGCGGCCTAGCGTTAACCTTAATAATAATTTACAATCATAATACTTTATTTCATTTAATAAATAAAACAGGTTTTTATCATTTTTAATTTTTTTGTATAAATAAGTAGAGCGGACGCCTGCATATATTAAAGCGGCTAAGGTCGAGTAAAAAGTGAACTAGGCCTGTTAAAGAAGCTGGAAGCCATCACCTCAAATTTAGGGAGGCTTGGCCTCCTGGGGGGGCGTGGCCACCGTCGCCTCAGCCGCAAGGCGGGCTCTTAGCAACGGCGCCGGGCCGAGCCCCGCCCTCTAAGGGGCGTGTCGGGCATCGACGCTTCTTCCCCTTCCGTTTTCCCGCGGGTGACGTCAGCGCGCCTGCCGGCCTGCGCGTGACGTCAGATCCCGGGCGAGGCGGGCGGGGCCGGGCGGAACGGCTGAACCGCTGAGGTAACGGGAGGCGCGGGCGAGGCGGGCGGGAGGCCCCAAACCGAGGCGGCGGCTCCCCGCTCGGCCCTTCTTCCCCTTTCCCCCGCCTAAGGGCTACGGGGGGGGTGTTTAATGGCAATTGCGTCCCCCCCCTTGCGTCGTTGCGGGGGGGGGGAAAAAAGAGGGTCTGGGGGGGGGGGGGTGGCGGGGGGGGGGGGGTCGTGGGGCCTACCCGGCCTGGCTTCCCGCAACCAACCTGGTTACTGGGCCTGAGGGGGGGTGTTAGAAAGGGAGGGCCCGCCACCCGTCCCCCCCCGCCCCACTTTAGCCTCCCAATGCGGGGAAGGGGCTTGCCCCCCCTTCCCCCAAATAAGGTGGCTGCCCTTCCTCCTTATGGGTTGGGAGGGAGCTGTGTATGGTCCAGAGAAGGGGCTTCTCTCTCCCTCCCCCCACCCTTTGACCTCTAAGGCGCTGCTTTTGAGGAGTGGTCTGCCCCTCTCCCCCACCCCACCCCCAAGGCCCTGCTATCCCACCCCTCCTTTCTTGGGGTGGGGTCTGGCCCTGCCCCTGGGGAGGGGGCTTCCCTGCCCCAAAAGCTACTTTGTGGGGCCTGTGGGTGGGTGTCACCCAGAGCCCCTTCACCATGTGGGGGGCGAGGGGGGGCTCCTTGCCTGCAGAAAAGGGTGGGGAGGGGACTACTATATATATATATATATATATACACACACACACACACACACTATACTATATATACTATACTATATATATACACTATACTATATATGTACTATACTATATATTATACTATATATACCTATATAGCCTAGGATAGTGGATGTGATTTCACTGAGCTATGGCTGCAATTTGAAAAACTTGATTTACGTAGGAAAATACCCAGCTGAAGAAAAATACATACTTTTAAACCTACGATAAGAGAAGAAAGCATATATTTATATTTATATTTATATTTCATTTATTTTACGAAATTTCCACCCTGCCTTTCAATGACTTTCTCCTCTCTGCAAGTGCAGAGTCCTCTCTGCTTTGGGGTGGGGGTGGGGGTGAGGGAGGTGCTGCTTTTTTTCTTATTTTATTTTCTTATTTTATTCATTTTTCTTTATTTTATTTCCACTCTTGCCTTTTCAGAGAATTGTTCTGGGCATGTGCAGAGACCTCTCTGCTCTGTGGGCCACCCCCCCCACCCACCGCCCCGGCTTTTTCCTATTTTATTTTATTCATAAATTTTCACCCTCCTTTTCTGGGCACGTGCAGAGTTCTCTCTGCTTTGTGTGTGTGTGGGGGGGCTTTTTCCTATTTTATTTTATTTTATTTTATTTCATAAATTTCCACCCTCCCTTTCAGGGAGTTGCTCTGGGCATGTGCAGAGTGCTCTCTGCTTTGCAGGGGGGGGGGGCTTTTTCCTATTTTATTTTATTCATATATTTCCACTCTGCCTTTCAAGGAGTTGCTCTGGGCATCTGCAGAGATTCCTTGCTGCTTTGGGGCTTGGGGTGGGGGTTGGGGCTGCTTTTTCTTCTAATTTATTTTATTTGATTTGTTTTAGTCTTAGATTTCTTTAACTGACTTGCTCCGGGCATGTGCAGAGTCCTCCCTCCTGGGTGGGGTGGTGGCAGCTGCTTTTTTCCCCTTCAGAGTGTTTATTTTTATTCTTAAATTTTCACTTTGCCTTTCCTCCACTTGCTCCAGGCATGTGCAGAGTCCTTCCTGCTGATGGGGAAGAAGGGCTGCCTTTTTTCCCTCCTTCACATTGTTTTATTCTTAAATTTCCACCCCTGCCTTTTAATGACTTGCTCTGGGCATGTGCAGAGTTCTCCCTCCTCCTGTTTTACCCCCTCCCCTAAAACCACTGAGAGAGAATGCCTGGCTCCCCAAACTCAGCTTGTATTTAGGATTTATTTATTATATTTCATATTTATTTTATTCCATTTATTTTTTTCTTCATTTGGGGGGCATTTTTACCCCACCCATTTCTTCTAAGGGACTCTTTGCATCCTCCTTGATACTGCTGGAGGAGGCCATATTTCCTCTCGAGTATTCCCAAAGCGTGCCCCCGAGGTGTGGGTCCCACCTTAGTCTTAATGGCAGAAATGCTCTTTCAGAAGCAGGAAAGCTGGCTCTCCCTGGAAATTGCTGAGTTTGGTTTCCATTTTTTTTTCCTCACCGCTGGTTGCCGGCTGGGAGGGGGCTGTAATCCGGCAGCATTTGGAGGACTGCAGTTGTATGCCCAGTTGTGTGCCTCCCCTCTCCTATAATCTCCTTGCGCAAGGGCTTTTATTTATCTGTTACTATTTATAATAAAATTTATATACTGCCATCTTATTGCTTGGGGCGATAAGCAAGGAATATCAATGGGTTTCCTTAGACTTCATAACAAGGCATTGTAAAACTGCTTCAGTCGCCAGAATACGGAATCTTTCAAATCCTCTCTGTGCTCTTCTGCACTGTTTTTCAAATTCAGCAACTCGAAAAACGTCTGGACTTCAACATCCAGAATTCCTATGCTTGAGCAAAAAAAAAAAAAGGGGGGGGAGGGTTGGACTAGAAGACCTCCAAGGTCCCTTCCAACTCTGTTATTCTGTTACCACTGAATTGAAGCAGACAGTCTTCAAGTGGCTGAGTGTGAAAAATACCCTGCTTTTAAATCCTTTCTTCTTTTTAATTTGTCACATATCTGAACCGCTCATCTCCCTCGTGTACAGTAAAGTATTACAATATAAAAATATACAGGTAGCCCTCGACTTACGACCACAATGGAGCCCAAAATGTCTGTTGCTAAGTGAGACAGTGGTTAAGTGAATTTTGCCCCACTTTTCTTGCCGCCGTTAAGTGAATCACTGTTAAGTTAGCCACATGGTTGTTAAGTGAATCTGGCTTCCCCAGTGACTTGGCTTGTCAGAAGGTTGCAAAAAGGGGGAATCATGTGACCCCAGGATGCTGCAACCGTCATAAATACGAATCGGATGCCCAAGTGTCTTTGAGTTTTGATCACGTGACCAAGAGGATGCTGCAACCATCGTAGGTGTGAAAACTTAAGTCCCTTTTTTTCCTGTGCCGTTGTAACTTTGAATGGTCACTAAATGAAATATCGTAAGTCAAGGACTATGTGTATTAAATATATAGGGAGACAAGGATGTTAAGACAATGTTCAAGCTAATTAAACTTTGAAGGGAGGGCTTTCAGGATACTAAGCAGCTCCTGGCTGGGTGCTTCTCTGAGCTTTCTGTCCAATTCACGCCTTTCCAGAAGGACAGGAGAATTGCCTGGCCTGGCCCACCTTTGGGGAGTGAGAGGTGATATTGCCCAGGGCAGGGGCAACAGCAGAGAAGGCCCTGTTCCTGGACCCTTGCCATCTTTAGCTGATGGGTTCTACAGCATGCCCTCCCTCTCTGACCAGGTGGGACAACCTGATGTAACGGAAGGAAGACAGTTCCGCAGGTAGCCTGGCCCTTCCCATTCTGATGACAATATCTTCAGCTTCTGTGCCTTGCAGTGTGGTCGATGCTGAAATAATTTCTGTTTCCAATAATCTCTGATTGCGAGGGGTCCTTGGTGCTCTCTGAGCTTGCAGATGTTTCGTTACCCAGCTAGGTAACATCATCAGTGCTAGAAGGGAGTGAGGTTTGTAGGTTGGAGGAGGAGGAGGACCGTGGGGTCCTTGGTGCTCCCTGAGCTTGGTTGTTTTCTTGCTTTTATAAAAATGAGAGCAAACCCCACTGCCTACTACTGGTAGCACTGATGATGTTACCTAGTTTGGTAATGAAACGTCTGCTAGAAAGTCACCAAGCTCAGCCCCAAAGACCCCTCATTTCAACCCTGAGCTTCAAATATTCTCCTCAATCTCTCTTATTAGCCATCATTGCTTCCTTCATTTTGATGGTCATGCCTTCCGTTCTGCGGAATCTTTCCTTCTTACGACCCTTTCATCCTATAGTACCTTCAACTGCCTTCTACTCTATCTGACCCCATTAATTTTCTTTTTCCCTCCCCCTTAACTTAAGTTCCTAGTCCTTTGGGTCTAAGGGTGTTAAATCTCAGATATATTTGTCAGTTCCTTTTTATGTGTGCGTGTGAGAAAACACCTCCTGTCTGGAGTGATTTCTATGCAAGTGAGCAAAGTAGGAGACACCAAATCCCTCATAACAGAAAAGTTATGTGACTCAGTTGCTAATGAGTCTATTTTCCTCATCTTTTCTGGTAGGCCATTATGCCTACAAATTGTGTGTGTGTGTAATATCAATAGCACTTAGATTTACCGGTATATTCACAGTGCTTTACAGTTCCCTTCCCTTCCCTTCCCTTCCCTTCCCTTCCCTTCCCTTCCCTTCCTTCCTACCTACCTACCTACCTACCTACCTATCTACCTACCGCCCTCTCTAAGCGGTTTACAGAGTCAGCCTCTTGCCCCCAACTATCAGGGTCCTCAAGGAAGGAAGGAAGGAAGGACGGAAGGCTGAGTCAACCTGGAGCTAGTCAGGATCGAACTCCTGGCAATGAGCAGAGTCTGCCTGCAATGCTGCATTCTAACCATTACTCCACCACGGCCCTTCCTTCCTTCCTATCTACCTACCTACCTACCGCACTTAGACTTATATACTGCTTTACAGTGCTTTACAGCTCTAAGTGGTTTACAGAGTCAGCATATTGTCCCCAACAATCTGGGTCCTCTAATTATATACATATACATACATACATACATGCATACATACATAAATGTGTGTGTATACCCACATATACACACAGAGAGACACATATACATATAATGCGTATGTATATATATTATATGTATAATATATATACCCATATATACCCACGCTTGTAGAGTGGAGTAAACCTTTTAGCTGAATGAATGCTGGTGGCGAATTCTGGGAATTGGAGAATTGAAGTCCATCCATCTTAAAAGTTGCCATGATTGAGAAAGACTGAGCTACACTCTCTCTGGTAAAGTGAGCTTAAGCGAGTGCCCTAAATTGATGATGACTCAGATCAGTGTTTCTCAACCTTGGTAGCTTGAAGATGGGTGGACTGCAACTCCCAGAATCCCCCAGCCAGCAGCGCTGGCTGGGGGATTCTGGGAGTTGAAGTCCACCCATCTTCAAGCTTCCAAGGTTGAGAAACACTGACTCAGATGATGTCTAGGAGCAATCTATGGCTCTGAACTCTTGAGTAAAAACCGTCTCCTTTCTCGATTGATTTTTCTCTAGAAAATGGCCGTGAACGTGTATTCCACCTCTGTGACGAGTGATAACTTAAGCCGACATGACATGCTCGCCTGGATCAACGAGTCGTTACAACTAACTTTAACCAAGATAGAGCAACTTTGTTCAGGTAAGAGGGACCTCTGAGATCAGAAGACTGTCCGTTCGAGGCCTTTCCTCATGACTGTTTCTCCTTTTAAGCAGTTGGAAACGGTAACGGGCTCTCTCTGGTGGGTAGTTGCTTGCCTTCTGACTTAAGTGTAAATTTATTTTATCAAACTTACATCTATCCAGTTCACCAAAGGTGACAGAAGTGTACTGCCTTTGTAGCATTGGCCCAATCTTCTTGAAATTTCTACTTGGAATGCTTCCCTTCCCTTCCTGGGGGGTAGAAGGAGATTCTACCTGCACCACTTTTCGGGCGGTGGGTGTATCTTAAGCGTGTCTTAAAGTTCTATGCAGTGCTGTGGTGTTAGATGTACCTTGAAATGTCTCATATGGGCAAAATAGTGGAGAGCTGAATAGCAACAGCTCTTAGACCTATATGCCGCTTCACCTTGCTTTATTGCCCTCTCTAAGCGGTTTACAGAGTCAGCCTCTGCCCCCCCAACAATCTGGGTCCTCATTTCACCAACCAGGGAAGGATGGAAGGCTGAGTCAATCTTGGTTTGCCTGCAATACTGCATTGTAACCACTGTGCCACTAAGGGAAAAAGGAAAGGAAAGGGAAGGGAAGGGAAGGGAAGGGAAGGGAAGGAAAGGAAAGAAGGAAAGAAGGAAAGGAAAGGAAGATATTGCAATAGCAATTGCACTTATATGCCACTTCACAGTGTTTTACAGCCCTCTCTAAGTAGGTTACAGAGTCAGCCTCTTGCCCCCAACAGTCTGAGTCCTCATTTTACTGACCGTGGAAAGATGGAAGGCTGAATCAACCTTGAGCCAGTCAGGATCGAACTCCTGATAGTTGGCAGAGTTTGTCTGCAATACTTTTAACAGAATAACAGAGTTGGAAGAGAGGTCTCCTCGTCCAACCCTCTGCTCCGGCAGAAAACCCTGTACAATCCCAGACAAATGACTGTCCAACCTCTTCTTAAAAGCCTCCAGGGTTGGAGCGTTCACAACTTCTGGTGGCAAGCTGTTCCACTGGTTGATTGTCAGAAAATTTCTCCTTAATTCCAGGTTGCTTCTCTCCTTGATTGGTTTCCATCTGTTGTTTCTTGGCTTTCTGGTGCTTTGGAGAATAAGTTGACCCCCTTCCTCTTTGTGGCAGCCCCTCAAATACTGGACTACTGCTATCCTGTCCCCCTCCTAGTCCTTCTTTTTCTCTAGACTGGCCATAAACCAATTCCTGCAACCGTTCTTCATATGTTTTAGCCTTCTTTCTCCAATTGGAGGCTAAACATCTTTCTTGCTCTTCTCCACACTTCTCATTTCTGTCCTGTATCTGAATATTTGGAAACTCTTTATAAAACACAATACCGAACTACGCGGAAGAAAAGGCTGTGGGAGCTGTTGTTTTGCAGTTTAATACCTTCTGGTCCCGGCGGAAGGCCGTTAAGTGTTTGTCACACCGATGGAGACGTCTTCCTTGCGATTAAGCCTCAAAGGAAATGAGTCTGCAGTAGCGACAGTAACCTTGCAGACTTTTAAAATCTATTGTTTTAAATATAATGCAGACAGGATTACAGGTAGCCCTTGACTTATGACCACAATTGAACCCAAGCAAATTGATTGTTAAATGAGTTTTGCCTGTTGCCAAGAGAGACAGTTGATAAGTGAGTTTTGCCCCATTTTACGACTTTTCTTGCCACCCTTGTTAAGTGAATCCCTGCAGCTGTTAAATTAATGGCATGGTCGTTAAGCGAATCCGGCTTCCCCCTCCTTCATTTTGCTCGTCAAAATGTCGCAAAAGGGGATCATGTGACCCCCCTGGATGCTGCAACCGTCATAAATGCGAGTCAGTTGTCAGTCCTCTGAATTTTGATCACAGGGATGCTGCAACAGCCATAGGTATGAAAAATGGTCATAAAATAGTCACTTTTTCCACTGCCGTTGTTAATTTCAGACGGTCACTAAATGAACGGTCGTAAGTCAAAGACACACCGTAGTCCTATAAGAAAAAAAATCCAGTTTTCAATTTTAGGTTCACCATAAGGAGCTTCTGCACTGCGACACGAATCGGATCCCAAACATTTCTTGGCTTTATCACAAGTCCGCCAAAAAATTAACCTTCCCAACTGTGAAGGGTGGTTAAATGAATGGTTGTAGGTCAAGGACTCCCTGTAATTCATAGGCGTGTGCAAACTGTGTTGCCTTGAACTCTTTTGAGCACTTCACTTTCAGTGAAGGGTCTGTGGAGATTCTCGGTCATCCAGCTCACGGTTGTCCCCCAAAGGTGCTTTTTTCAAGAGGCAGCTGGACTCTCTAGGTTTTTCCTTGAAGACGTTTCGCTTCTCATCCCAGAAGCTTCTTCGGTTCTGCCTGAATGGTGGTGGATGGAAGGGTTTATATTCCTTACGGTCATCCGGTCATTAGCCCTTTCTCTATTTATTTATTTATTTATTTATTTATTTATTTATTTATTTATTTATTTATTTATTTATTTATTTATTTATTTATTTATTTATTTATTTATTTATTTATTTGTTCCTATTTCTATACCGCCCTTCTCCAAATAGGACTCAGGGCGGTGAACAGCCAAAGTAAAAACAGAACATACAAAATTTAAAAAACAGTTTAAAATAATTAAATATTTTGGCCGTAAATTAAAACAACCCAATTTAAAATCAATTTAAAATTTAACTCAAGCCAGCCCAGCTAGTTGAAATAAATGGATTTTCAGGGCCCGACGAAAAATCCGGAGGTCTGTTATTGTACGTATCCCTGGGGGGAGGTTGTTCCAGAGGGTGGGCGCCGCCACAGAGAAGGCTCTCCCCCTGGGGGTCACCAGCCGACATTGTCTGGTGGACGGCACCCTGAGGAGGCCCACTCTGTGCGAGCGTACTGGCCAGTGGGAGGCTATTGGTGGCAGAAGGCGGTCTCGTAAGTACCCCGGCCCTAAGCCATGGAGCGCTTTAAAGGTGGTCACCAACACCTTGAAGCGCACCCGGAAGACCACCGGGAGCCAGTGCAGCTCGCGCAGGAGAGGTGTCACATGGGAGCGCCTCGTCGCCCCCATAATCCCCTGCGCGGCCGCGTTCTGGACCAGCTGGAGCCTCTGAGGGCTTATCTGTGCCCTGAGGGTCACCTGAATCAGAGCGGAAATAGGTGTGCAACACTTTTCAATGAAGCATCGTCCCTCATTGTGAAACTGGTCTGTCGAGTTCCACACTTGCTATTTCAAGCATTTTGAAAGTGTTTTAAGCTAAAAACTCTTCCAACACGCTCTCAAAACAGCCTGATGTGCAAAAAAAAAAAAAAGATGTTGAGATTCTAGAAAAAGTGCAGAGATGATGAGAGGACTGGAGGCTAAAACATAGGATGAACGGTTGCAGGAACTGGGCCTGGCTGGTCTAGTGAAGAGAAGGACCAGGGGAGACAGGATAGCAGCCTTCCAGTATTTGAGGGGCTGCCACAGAGAGGAGGAAGGGGGTCAAGCTGTTTTTCAAAGCACCCAAAGGCCAGAGAAGGAATAATGGATGGAAACTGATCAAGGAGAGATTCAACCTAATAAGGAGGAATTTTCTGACAGTGAGAACAATCAACCGATGGAACAAAAGTTGCCTTCAGAAGTTGTGGGAGCTTCATCACTGGAGGCTTTCAAGAAGAGACTGGACTGCCATCTGTCGGAAATGGTGTAGGGTCTCCTCCTTAGGCACGGGGTTGGACTAGAAGATCTCCAAGGTCCCTCCCAACTCTGTTATTCAATCTGTCTCAAAGCCCTTTCCGGTTCCTTTCAGCAGTTAAATCTTGAGTGACCAGATCCCTGATCTGCCCTTGTAATCAGCTTCCTTTTAATTAATCATCTTGACTGCTTCAAATCATCTGTTCCATCCCAGGAGCTATTTTTTTTAAAAAAGACAACCCTTTGCACAAGGCCAAGGACTGACATTTCATGTCGTAAGGGAAACACAGCACTATGTTCTCTTAGTACACTGGAAAAACCTAATACAAGTAGTCCTTGAATTACAACAGTTCATTTAGTGACCGCTCAAAGTTACGACGTCATTGTAAAAAGCGACTTACGACTGTTTGTCACAATGACAACTGTTGCAGCATTCCATGTGATCAAAATTCAGATGCTTGACAGCTAATTCACACGACCGTTGCAGTTTCCCAGGGCCATGTGATCCCCTTTTGGGACCTTTTGAGGAGCAAAGTCCATGGGGCAGCCAGATTCGCTTAACGTGTTACTCACTTAACATCTGCCGTGATTCACTTAACAACCGTGGCAAGAAAGGTCATAAAATGGGGCAAAACTCACCTACCAACTGTCTCTCTCAGCAACAGGAATTTGGGGCTCAATTCAGGCCCTTTGACTTACAACCTCAATTGAGTCCAAAAATTTCGGTACATGTAAGTTCTCGACTTACGACCACAATCGAGCCCAAAATTTCCTGTGTTAAGTAAGACAGTTGTTCAGTGAGTTTTGCTCCATTTTTAAGTGTGAAAAACAGTTACTTTTTTTAGTGCTGTTGTAACTTTGGTCACTAAACAAACAGTTGTGAGTCGAGGACTACCTGTACACCACAATGCTCTCCAGGGCAGGCTGCGGAATTCTGGGAGTTGAAGTCCACAAGTCTTAAGGTTGCCAAGGTCGGACATAAATGTTAGATTTATGCTCTTCAGGGTCTGTTGAGGAAATTGGGATTAGCCAACAGGAATTTCCTTGCTGATCATTGGATGCAGTTGTCAATATTCCAACTGACAAACCCAACTGAAGCAAGCACAGTCAAGACGATCCAATCTCTGAATGCAAAGCTTTATTGAGTACATCATTCTTACACCGATGAGGGCAAAACCAAATCTAGTTAATTCCCGCGCAAACCCACATAATTAAAATATAGAATTCTCCCTCCCCTTATTAAAGCCGGTCACATGGTCCAATTGAGTCTCTCTGTATTGTTATGAGAAAAACTCTTAGGCTTTGGCAAACACCTGCTGAAGTGTCCTTGGCTCTCACGGCTCAGCTTCTTGATGTCTGGAGCATACATTCCATCTCAACACACACACACACGGTGCATTGGTAACCTGGAAAATGATAATAGTTGCAACAGCAAAAATGTGGTTCTTGTCAGTGTATAAGAGTTCATGAATTGGAATAGACATGGCAACAGATCAGCCAATGGGGACTGTTTGGTAACTCAGACAGTTAGGAGCCTGGGCGTGGCTTAGCTTGATTTATGTATAAAAGAATTGGTTTCTCCTTGCATTATTGCTTCTGTGATTATATTGATTCTGTCCTTCCGTGATTTCTGGTTCTGGCTTCTACTGGATGGGTATTGTATACATGCATCATGTTTTATATTACTGTATATAAAGAAGTTTCTTTTATACATAAATCCTGCTGAATTATTTACTTGTGTGCTGGTTGGATTGCTGCAAACTCTTAACAGTTCAACCACATTTGGCAGCAGTTTTGGAGAGAGTTGTATTGGTAGTCTTGTCACCCAGCTGTCCCAACAGATGCAGTGACATTCGAGGAAAAGAGCCATCCAATGTGGTTGTGGGTGTTTCTGGAGAGCAGGGCCACAAGGTGGATAAAAATTGATTAAAAAAAATAATAATTAAAAAATCAGATTTTTAAAATTTTAATCGGATTCTTTTTATTTAAATCTGATTTTTTTTAGAATTTTTTATCAAATATATTTTAATAAAATGCTTTTGGAGTAAAAATCTATCTAAAGGTAGTTTTCTATTTAAGATACATGAATAATTTAGTTTATTCAGCATGAAACGGAGCTGAGTTAGGCAGCAAGAGGCTGTATATTCTGCAATATTGGGACTGTCGGTGAGTCAACAGCGGATCAGAGGAGGAACCACTGCGGGACAGAGATGACAGTTGCTTTTTATGATTTAAATCAAGCCTTTTTACTAGTGATTTAAATCAACTTGATTTAAATGAAACCCACCCTGCAGAGCCACCAACAGCCTCAGCTGTTAGTTTCAGAAGTTCTTTCTGGGTGACCCATTTAGTTTTCTGGCAAATTTATTTTATCAAGAAAATTTATATAGCCCACTCAACTCACTCATGGTGAATCCAGGCAAGCAATAACCCCGTTACACCCCCCCCACCCCGGTGGTGATGAAAATTGGACCAACCACCTGATGAGCTCCATATTGCTGTGGGGTCCCCAGACCCGCTGGCAAAACCACGTCTTCAGAGCGGTTCAAATGAGCGTCAAGGGGAAGGATATCTTATCTCCACGGGGATGGATGTTCCACAGGGAGGGAGCCACCACAGAGAAGGTCCTCCTTAAGAGATGGACCTCCTTAATGGAAGGGACTTGTAACATCCTCTGCCTTTCCATTCAGGTGGGACTGGTAGATATAACTGGGAAAAGATGGTCCTTCAAATAACTGGGAAGGAGCCACCACGGAGAAGGCCCTTCTTTTCGGTCCCAGCAGATGGACCTCCCTTAAGAGAGGGAACCCATAGCATCCTTTGTCTCCCCACTCAGGTGGGTGGTAGATGTGGCTGGGAAAAGATGGTCCTTCAAATAACCTTCAACTAGTCCATTCCCTGCTGTGTGAAGAGCAAGGTAGAGAAAAGAACTGTCCGAAGATCTAAAGAAGGAGTGGTATGTCTTCTCCCACCCAACTGTTTGAATCCAGTTCCTCCCACAAAGTTTTCCTGCAATGCAGCCTCCCACAGAAAACAGGATTGGCAGCCATAAAGGAATGCAGATTTTTCTGATCTTTTACCCTAATTACCTTTGCTAAGATCTAATTTTCACTAAGATGTTTCTCTCTCTCTCCCTCCCTCCCTCTCTCTCTCTCTTTCTTGGCCAGGTGCTGCTTATTGTCAGTTTATGGACATGCTCTTCCCAGGTTCGGTCACGCTCAAGAAAGTGAAATTCCAAGCAAAGCTGGAACACGAATACATTCAGAATTTCAAGGTCCTACAAGCAGGTTTTAAGCGAATGGGTGTTGACAAAGTAAGAGTTTCAGTCGTTTCTCAGATGTCATTTTTAGGGAATGTTGCAGCTTGGAGAACTGGCGTAATTGGCTCCTTTGGCTGCGGCCTAAGACGTTCACATTGATTGATTTTGAATATTTATTTATTCATTTACTTAGAATATTTGCCAGAGGCTAACATTCCCCATTCTCAGTTTTCAAATTAATATTCAGTCATACTGGAGAGGTTTTTTTCCCCAGTCTTGTTCAATTTAAACCAGATACATTTCTTTTGACAAAACTGGAATCATTTTTCAGCTTTATGATGTACCTTTTCCAGGAAAATCAGCACTTGGTATTTCGTTTTTTTACCATTGTGTAGCTGAGGTGCCAATCACCTGTTAACATACTGCTGAATATAATAAGGTGGGATTTTTATGTTATCGAGTAGGAAGGTATTTTTCTTGTCTTGTCAAGTTGGAGTTTGTGCCATTTCTGCCTGCATTGACTTGTGGCTCAAAACCAGAGAAGTTAAAGTTCCTGATTTGTTTTTTTTTTTGTTTTTTTGGTGGGGGGGGGTAGGTTTTAATCTTTGTCAAGATATGACTAACATAAACCTCATGAAAGACTTTTCTATTCCCAGATATTTTGTTAGAGTTAGGCCTCCAGATGCTTCTGTTTGGCTTGTCTCTTTTTCTGTGGAACGATATTTATCTGAATTTTCAGAAGGTTTATAGCATATGAATTTAAATTTAGCAGCATTCAGCTAAGCTGCCTGAATGCTGCTAAAAAATTTTAAAATTTTAAATTTCATGTACTCTTTTTATATTCTCACGTTTTATTGTACACCGCCTAGAGAGTCCCTCTTGAGTGGTTCAAAAACGTGAAATACAAGTCAATAGAAAAACATCTCTGACCCTTCTCAAATTGTGGGAGTAAAAGAATGCTTCTATTGCTGCCCTTGAATTACTGGAAAGGCAGAAGGAATGTGGGTTTTCATATGCTAATTTTCTCATGAATTGTTTCTGACTCACTGCTGCCTTTCAAATGCAAATTGGATTTGGGATTTCTGCAAGTCCAGTGCAGTGCTTCTCAGACTTGGCCCCTGGAAGATGGGCAGATTTCAACTCCCAGAATTCCCCAGCCAGGATCTTAGAATTGCCCAAGGTTGAGAAACACCGGTCTGGTCATCAGGATTCAGCGGTGATATTGCCAAGTTCAGGTAGTCCACAAATTGAGCCCGGAAATTTCTGTTGGTAAAAAAGACCATGGTTAAATAAATTCCGCCCTGTTTTATGACCTTCCCTGCCACAGCTGTTAAGTGAATCCTTGCAGTTAAGTTAGTCAGGTGGTTGTTAAGTGAATCTGTCTCCCCCGTTGACTTTTGCTCATCAGAAGGTCGCGAAAGGGGATGACCTGACCGTAGGACACTGCAACCGTCATACGTACATGCCAGTTGCCAAGCCTCTGAATTTTGATCACGTGATCAAAATTCATACAATTCAAGCATGCCGCAGTGGCTGTAGGGGTGAAAAATGGTCCCAAGTCACTTTTTTCAGCGCTGTTGTAATTTTGAACGGTCACTAAATGAACTGTTGTAAGTCGAGGACTATCTGTGGAAACTTTTCTTTCCTAAACCAGGATATCAAAGCTGCAAAAGAACTGCAGAATAACTCTCTCCCTTACGCTTCTTGACCGTATTGGGATAAAAGGACCAGGGGCTTTTAATTCTATATCGGGCGATGTTTTTGCCTTCTTTTGTGTGTCTTTTTTTTCTCTCTCTCCTGGGAGGAGATTGTCCTTGTGTGGCACAGGTGAGGACCCAAATCAGGTTGATGGTTGAGCTGAAATTGTGGTGTGCTCAGCCGTTGGAGATGCAGGCTGCTTTCTGAATATCCCACCGTCCCTCTGGCTAAAGAAGAGCAAAGGGGAATATTCAAATCTGCAGTTGTCCACCTTCTGAATTTTGCCCAAACATAACTCTGTAGGCCAGGACTGGATCGTATTGATTCTGTTCATTGGAAGTTCCACCTTTTGTGTAGGCCTTAAGTCAGTTTTAATAAGCCTTTAAGATGAGTGGACTTCGATTTCCAGAAAGCTGGGTCTTCAAAAGAAAAAAACAAGGAAGTCCAGTTGCCTCCTGAAAAAGCAACCTGGATGACGGAGAACCTCCATAGACATGTAAGGCCATCATGCCTTTCTTTCATTAGGACCATAGGTGAGTAACCGCCACCATCACCGTGGTGGTCTTATCTCAGGGCATCAAGCCTTACTTGTGTCTCACTTTGGAGAGCAGTTATTTTGTCAACTGACCCGTATCCTACAACCTTTCAGCTGCTCTTCTTCTCCTGTGAATCTCCTCCTCTTCTCCACTCTTCTCTTCTCTTCTCCTCTGTGAGGTCAGGCCTCCTCGGTGCTGTTGGATCAAGTAGCAACTCTGGTAGCTTCCCATTTTTTAGTCTTTTGGCCACTAGGATCTCAGTGTGGTCGGTAGACTCCATCCCTACCTCCAGGGGCTTCAGAGATGTCAGCTGCTGGGCTCGATTTCCACTTCTTTAGCCATACAATTTCTGATGAACACCCTTCGAGTAGTGTGGGAGTAGGGATGGTTGCAGAGAAAAATTGCAGACTACAGAAACCAGGAGCACCACTCAGGTGACCCTGAGGACACAGGTAAACCTCCGAGTGGCCTCAATCACTCTCTAAAAGGATGCAAATGACCAGCTCCCTGCAAGGAGTATAAATCCTTCCCTTCCCCACCATCCAGTCAGAGCGGAAGAAGTTTCTTCGATGAGAAGCAAAAAGTCTTCAAAGAAAAAACAAGAAAGTCCAGTTGCCTCTTGGAAAAAGCATCTTTGGGGCAACCATGGATGATGGAGAATCTCCATAGATTTTCCCCCATCTTAAAGCTGTCAAGGTTGAGACACGCTGCTTTAAGTGGTGTCTCACTTTATTTCATGGCTACATGGGAGATGTTACCAAGCAAATAAGCAGCCTTGTAACTGTCTTTCCAAGTTAGTTTGGGAAAAACAAGGATGATGTGAGTTAACCCCCTTGGTTTAGTTGGGCCCAGTTAGTTTGCTCTGAAAGACCAGTGCTTTTGATGCACGCTAATGCAAGATCTTTTATTTTTCCTCCCCAAAATTCAGAAAACATGAATTTCTGTAAAAACACACACACACACACACACACACACACACACACACACACAAAACAAAATGCAGACGACTTCTAGCTGTTTTGCTCTGTAGGAATAACACCCCAAACCTCTTAACAGGCAAGAAACTTTATTTGCACCCAAGAAAAGAATGTGCATGCTTTCACGTTCGGCAAGGAGACTAGATGTTACAAAAAAACGTGTGTGTTTCTAAACAGCAGCTGGCCATCAGTGGATTGCGAGACCTTGGTCTGAGTAAATACAAAGATTAGCTTTCTCAGGAAGTTTGTAGCAATTGAAGACTGAATAAAGTAACAGGAAGTTTGGGCAAACCTTGGAATTTACGCAATGCCTGTTTTTTTTTTTTAATGGTTTTTGTTTTGGTGGTCCTTCCCACAAATACAGATGACAGGGAAAGAAATTGGATAGCCATTTGTTTGAAATGGTTTAGGGTTTGCTGCTCGAGAAAGGAGCTGGACTAGATGACCTCCAAGGTGCCTTCCAACTCTGTCATTCTCTGTTCAGTGTCTGAATCGTTTCCAGTATTTTGACACCGTAGGAAATGAAGAAGCCAGATCGTGTAAAGAAAATTACGGAATAAAAGAGTAGGGCCTTAAAACGGCTGAAGTTGAGAAATATTGTCCCATTGAGTTTCCACCAGGTGATCCGGCCTCTACCAAGATCAATCACATATAGAGCTGGAAGGGACCCCAGAGGTCCTCTAGTCCAACCCCCTGCTGAAGCGGGAAACCCTGTGCCATTCCGTACTAATGGCTGTCCAGTCTCTTCTTAAAAACTTCCAGCGATGGAGTATTTACAACTTCTTGTGGCAAGCTGTTCCTCCGATTAATTGTTCTCAGGAAATTCCTCCTCAGTTCCAGGTTGCTTCTCTCCTTGGTTAGTTTCCATCCGTCGCTTCTTATCCTGCCTTCAGGGGCTTTGGAGAATAGATCATCATCATCTTCCTATCTTTTCTTGGCTAAACAAATGCCAGGGTCCTGAGGGAAGAAATGCAATTTGGTCTTTCAGTGGCGTGTTGTAAAAATTCCCTTTTTTTCTGGAGGAATATATAATTTCCAAATCATCCACTCTGTTCTGCTTTGGGGAGACCCTACCTCCCTCTGTCTCTCTGTCTCTCTCCTTTTCTCTCTCTCTCTCCTCTCTCTCTCTCTCTCTCTCTCTGCCTAAGGGCAGAGGGGTGGACTAGAAGACCTCCTAGGTCCCTTCCAGCCCCAAATTCTATGCCTATTTCTATCCCACTTAAAATAAGGTTCAGAGAAGGACAGCGAAGACGATCAGAGAATTAAGAACTAAGCTGTAGGAAGAAAGATTAAAAGATTTATCTCAACTTAAGAGAGAGAGGATAGCACTCTTAAATATTGGCAAGGATTTCAAACAGGATTTCAGAACGTTCTTTAGGACCCTGTCATGCGCGGCGTAGAAGAATGAATTTTAAGAATCCGGAAGCTATATAGGTAGTCCTTGACTTAGGACCACATTTAAGGCCAGAATTTCCGTTCCTAAGCGTGATGGTTGTTAAGTGAGTTTCGCCCCATTTGACAGTCTTCCTTGCCCCAGTTGCTAAGTGAATCTAACTTCCCCATTAACTTTGCTTGTCAGAAGATCACAAGAGGTAACAGGTAACAGTAACAGAGTGGTAAGGGACCTTGGAGGTCATCTAGTCCAATCCCCTGCTCACGCGGGAGACCTATACTAGGGATTCGAACTGCCGAACTGCCGGCCTTTCTGATCGACATGCTTAGTGGCTTAGCCACTGAGCCACCTAGCCAGGCAGGACTCCGAGTTACTGCAACTGTCATAAATACGAGTCAGTTGTCAAGCGTCCGAAATTCATCACGTGTCCATAGGGATGCTATGACGGCCATGTGAAAAACGACTCATACCCTTGTCAGCTGCCTTGAGTCGCCCTGTGCGAGTTGGCAGCAATATAAATTTTCTAAATAAATAAATAAAAACGGTCATAAGCCACTTACGGTAACTCACTTTTTCAGTACCATTGTAACTTTTTTAATACAATAAATAAATTTACATAATTTATATAAATTTATTTATTGTATTAAAAAAGTTACAATATATAATTTATATATTATTGTATAACGTTATTCTATAACTCTGTTTATGCAATCCTGGGTTGTATAAATAGAGGCATAGAGCTAAAATCAGGTGAAGTATCAGTACCGCTTTATAAAGCCTCAGTAAGGCCACACCTGGAATCCTTCATCCAGTTTTGGTCCCCACATTACAAAAAAGATGTTGAGACTTTGGAAAAAGTTCAGAGAAGAGCAACTAAGATGAGCAAAGGCCTGGAGACTAAAACATACGAAGAATGGCTGCAGGATTTGGGTTTGGCCAGTCTAGAGAAAACAAGGACTAGGGCGGACATGATAGCAGAATTCCAATATTTGAGGGGCTGCCATGAAAAAGAGGGGGTCAACTTTATTTTCCAAAGCCCCTGAAGGAAGGACAAGAAGCAACAGATGGAAACGAAACAAGGAGAGAAGAAATGTGGAATTAAGGCGAAACTTCCTGACAGTGAGGACAATTAACCAGTGGAACTGCTTGCCACCAGAAGTCGTGGGTGCTCCATCCCTGGAGGTTTTTAAGACGGGACTGGACAGCCACCTGTCTGAAATGGCACTATAGGGCCTCCTGCTTGAGCAGAGGGCTGGACTAGGAGACCTCCAAGGCCCCTTCCAGCTCTCTTCTGATTGAGGAACTTGAAACGGTCACTAAACGAATGGTGGTAAGTCCAGAACTTAGCTGTACATTCCAACAGAACGTTTGGAGAAAAAAAGAGCCCTGCTGATGGTTCAGCAGCAGAATTGTTGCTGCAGTGGCAAAGTTTTTGAGCTGGGTTTGAACAGACATCTGCCTGCCTGCTTTGCTTTGGACTCCTGCCCTGAGCAGGGGGCGGGTGGGGCACTTCCCACTCATAAGATTCTATGAATGACAATGATTCGGCCATATAAATCGTCTTCTGTAAAGCTTTTCTTAATGCTTAAGTTTTAAATAACAAGGCCTGGCAGTAAAGCCTGTAAAAACGAAATACTGACTGTTAAACATTTTGTGCTTCGTTTCAAAAGAATAACTTAAACACATCACAATCACATTTTTTCGTGCTGTTTTCTACGTGTGTGTTTGTCTGTGTGTGTGTGTTGAAAAACCCTCAGATATTTTGTGATGTTTTAAAACCTTCATCGGGGGTGGGGGTGAGGTGGGGATTTGGGGCCAGCTCCTGGTGCCAGGTCTACCAAGCTATTTTAGTGCAGAAATAAAGTAAATACCTAACCCATTTCTGCACGAGCCGAGGAATTTTCTCTAGTCTTCAAGTTACGACAGCAACGGAACCTGCCTATCACGGTTGTTAAGTTTTGCTTACAAAACATGCAACGATTTTATGACCTTTTTTTCTGGCCGTTGTTAAACAGGCCAGTGTTTTTTTGTCACCGTGTGGTTTTGCTGTAAACCTGATTTAAATGCCAGGTTTTTTTGCAAAGGCGTCGTAAAACAGACACATGAATGCAGGACGCTGCAAATGAATATAGATGTGGCCCGATGTGCGGTCACATGACTGAGGGGGAGACCATAAGCACTTTGAATTTTGGGTCATTAAGTACTCTCCCCGGTACGTCCGTCGGCGTTTCGAATGGTCACTAAGCAGCCAGTCGTAAGTCGAGGACTAACTCTCTTGCTTTTAGAAACCTCTCTGCTAGAATTCTAGAAGACATTTCTCGTCTGGGCTAAATGTCCTTAACCTCTCTCCTCAGATAATACCTGTGGACAAATTAGTGAAAGGGAAATTCCAAGACAATTTCGAATTCGTTCAGTGGTTCAAGAAATTCTTTGATGCCAATTACGACGGAAAGGACTACGACCCCGTGGCAGCTCGGCAAGGCCAGGAGTCGTGCCCCGCCCCCGCTCTGGTGGTCCCGCTGCTGAACAAACCTAAGAAGAACCTTGGTTCTGGTGGCACAGGTAAGAGAGGCTTTGCGTCGGGTACCGTGGGCGCTCGGAAGTTCTAGTGCTCCGTCCTGGGTGGGGGATTCTGGGAGTTGAAGTCCACCCATCTTCAAGCTTCCAAAGTTGAGAGACACTGCTCTACATAGAAATGATCCTTGGCTCCTGTTTGTTGAGAAAGGCATAGTTTTATCAGAACTCAAGTGTATTGCGGTAACGCATAGCCAGAACTGAGCATCGCCCGCCAAAATCCCTAAATTCAACTTTTCCCTCCCTTAACTGCCTCCTGTTGCTGGCCCCTCCATGCCCAGTCAGATTCAAGTAAGATGTGTTCAGAAGCGTAGCTTGGTATGCAGCTGCCTTCTTCTCCCAGCCGAGGGACCTTGAAGCAGCTTCTTGGGGAGATACAGCAGTTACTTTCGCTTTCCCCAGAGTTCATGGCAAAACTCTCACCGCTACCATGGTAGCGAAGCACGCAAGCAAGCATTAGTTATCGGAGGAATCCTAGAATTAAGACACCAAGAGAACCCATAGAAGAGAGGGTTGAACTGTGGGGTCCTTGGATCTCTCTGAGCTTGTTGGTTTTCTTGCAGATGTTTCATGACCCAGCTAGGTAACATCATCAGTGCTAGAAGGGAGTGGGGTTTGCTCTCTGTTTATAAACTTGTGGCTTGCCTTGTCAGTGGGAGTGTCTTGTTCATTCCTTAACATCAAGATTAACACTAGACTGTGCAGTTCTTTCACAATCTAGCCTTCTTAAAATTCTGGCTGCTTGTAGACCCTTGCCCGATGCTAAGTTTTGCAGGCGTTCATATTTTCCCCCCAAATTGGGGGTGGGAGGAAATCACCTTTTTTTTGAAGTTGCCCATTCATTCTGCTCTTTCTCAGCCACACTGACGGTATGGGGAGGCTTTGCATTTTTTTTTCTCTTAGATTTATATACCGCCCTACTCCCGAAGGAGTCAGGGCGGTGAACAGGCACAAAATAAAATACATAGATAAAAAACATAATTAAAACCAGATTAAATAATTTAGCCCGTGACAATTAAAAATCCCAATAATTTAAAACAGATTAAAATTTCGATTGAAAAGAATTTTAAAACGGGAGAAAAATTAGGCCAGGCTGGCTTGCTGGAATAGGAGGGTCTTAAGAGCACGGCGGAAAGTGCGCAGGTCCGGGATCCTCTGTATCTCCAGGGGGAGCTCGTTCCAGATAGTGGGTGCCCCCACAGAGAAGGCCCTCCCCCTGGGGGCCGCCAGTCGACACTGTTTAGCTGACGGCATCCGGAGGAGTCCCTCTCTATGGGAGCGTACCGGCCGGTGGGAGGCTGTTTGTGGTAGTAGGCGGTCCCGTAAATAACCAGGTCCTAAGCCATGGAGCGCTCTAAAGGTGGTAACCAAAACATTGAAGCGCACCCGGAAGACCACCGGGAGCCAGTGCAGCTCGCGCAGGAGAGGTGTTACATGGGGAGTGCCATGTCGCCCCCATATTACCCGCGCGGCTGCACTCTGCGCCAGTTGGAGCCTCCGGGTGCTCCTCAAGGGGAGCCCCATGTAGAGAGCGTTACAATAGTCCAGGCGGGAAGTGACGAGGGCATGAGTGACCGTGCATAAGGAGTCCCGATCCAGAAGGGACGCAACTGGCGGATCAGGCGGAACCAGATTTTCAGTGTTTCATCCGAGATCTTGTAATTGAATGGTGCGGTGGCCTAGAGGTGGAGCTCTCACCTCACGATCAGGAGGCTGAGAGTTTGATCCTAGGTAGAGGCAGATATTTCTCTCTCTGGGCTCAATGAGAATATATCTGCTGAACAAAACTCTGCATTGGCGACAGGAAAGGCATCCGGCCAGTAAACACTCAGCTCCATTCAGCTGCCCAGACTCCACCCCAATGCAAGGGATGATGGGGTCGTTAAACAATAATGATGATGATGATGATCCGAGATCTTGTAATTGCGAAGTGCTTTTGTGTTTGGGCGTCCTAGTTAGAAGAAACCTTCTCTTTTTGTAGATAACAGTTTTGTGGGAACTTCGGACCTGAAGGCAGCAAGAGCAGAGTCTCCTCTTTCCTTAAAGAAAACCGCTGCAATCGGTACTAAGTGGGTGGAAGGAGCAACTCTCGTGCCTTACTCTCTTTCTCTCCTGTTGGGCTTTGTAGCACACCGGGTTGCACGCTTCGGGTGTCGTTCACTTCGGTTGGCAGCGGTGCCGAGGCCCTGCGCCCCACTGCGGAGCACGGCTAACGCGCTTCCTCTCTTACAGCCCCAACGAGGCCCCTGGTTGCACAGCGAACAACGGTGGCGAATAAATCCGGGCCTCCAATGATCAAAAAGGCTCCTGGGGGAATCGGAGAGGATGAATCAGCCGAATTGATACAGCAGGTAGGTTTCGGGAGTGCGTGTGGGATGTCTGTCCGCAGCGATAACAGATTAACAGAGTTGGGAGGGACCTTGGAGGTCATCTAGTCCAACCCCTCGGCCAGGCAGGAGACCCTACACCATTTCTGACCGATGGCAGTCCAGTCTCTTCTCGAAAGCCTCCAGGGATGAAGCTCCCACAACTTCCGAAGGCGACTCCTGTTCCGTGGGTGGATTGTGATTTTTCCTCATGGAAGTTTCGAACCCCTTCATGCTGGATTTAAACCACACAGGTCTCCAAAGGGGTCCAGGGGGAGTACGCAAATGGAGTGTGTGCGCTTACGTGGGTGCCTGCCACACACACACACACACACACACAAACATCACTTCCCTTCCCCCTTGCCTGCATTCTAACCCACTGCACCACCAGAGCTCAGAGAAAGGAAAAAGAGAGGAGAAGGAGAAGGAAGGAAGGAAAATATTTCAATAGCACTTATATGCCCCTTCACAGTGCTTTACAGTAGTGGTTTTAAAGAGTCAGCATATCACCCCCAACCATCTGGGTCCTCATTTTACTGTCTTTGGAAGGATGGAAGGCCGAGTCGATCAGGATCGAACTGCTGGCAGTGAGCAGAGTTACCCTGCAATCCTGCATTCTAACCAATGGGAGGGAGGGAGGGAGGGAGGGAGGGAGGGAGGAAGGAAGGAAGGAAGGAAGGAAGGAAGGAAGGAATTTCAATAGCGTAGCACTTGCATACCGCTTCACAATGCTTTACAGTACAGTATAAGTGATAGTCGAACTGCTGGCAGTGAGCAGAGTCAGCCTGCAATCCTGCATTCTAACCACTGGGGAGAGGGAGGGAGGGAGGAAGGAAGGAAGGAAGGAAGGAAGGAAGGAATTTCAATAGCAGTAGCACTTGCATACCGCTTCACAATGCTTTACAGTACAGTATAAGTGATAGTCGAACTGCTGGCAGTGAGCAGAGTCAGCCTGAAAACCTGCATTCTAACCACTGGGAGGGAGGGAGGGAGGGAGGGAGGGAGGAAGGAAGGAAGGAAGGAAGGAAGGAAGGAAGGAAGGAAGGAAGGAAGGAATTTCAATAGCAGTAGCACTTGCATACCGCTTCACAATGCTTTACAGTACCAGTATAAGTGATAGTCGAACTGCTGGCAGTGAGCAGAGTCAGCCTGCAATCCTGCATTCTAACCACTGGGAGGGAGGGAGGGAGGAAGGAATTTCAATAGCAATAGCACTTGCATACCGCTTCACAGTGCTTTACAGTACAGTGTAGGTGATAGTCGAATTGCTGGCAGTGAGCAGAGTCAGCCTGCAATCCTGCATTCTCAGCCCTGCTCCACCAGCGTTCTTTGCAGCAGCCCCACAAAGTCTCTTCAGCGACTTGCTCTGAGATGAGCTATTTTTTTTTTGTCAGATCAATGCATTAAAGATGACTGTGGAAGATTTAGAAAAGGAACGAGATTTCTACTTCGGGAAGCTGAGGAACATCGAGCTGATCTGCCAGGAGAACGAAGGCGAAAGTGATCCGGTCCTCCAGAGAATCGTGGAAATACTTTATGCTACAGATGTAAGTAGATGAGATTTGGCAGCGGCGCTTCCCCGTTTTGGGCTCGGGCATAACTGTGGCTCTAGCTTTTCCTTCTGTGCCCCATTTCCCAGGATGTTCACCTGCACAAATTGGACTGAACTGAGTTGAGTAACTTTTATGGTCATTTTTCTGTACACACAATTGGCACACATTAAAATGAAATTCTGATGCACCTCTCCCGAAAGAGACAAAAAAACCCACCACCCCCAAATGATGTCACCATCCCAATGATGATGATGATGGTAATGTACCAAAAGTGCTTTTTTCCAGGAGGCAAGTGGACTTTCTTGTTTTTTCTTTGAAGACGTTTCGCTTCTCATCCAAGAAGCTTCTTCAACTCTGACTGGATGGTGGGCAAAGGAAGGATTTATACTCCTTGCAAGACATCTGGTCATTTGCATCCTTTCTAGAAAGAGCCGTAAGAGGGATGCAGTGGCTCAGTGGCTAAGAGGCTGAGCTTGTCGATCGAAAGGTCGGCAGTTCAGTGGTTCGAATCCCTAGTGCTGCCATGTAAAGGGGTGAGCTCTCGTGAGTTGTCCCAGCTTCTGTCAACCTAGCAGTTTGAAAGCACATAAAAAAAATGCAAGTAGAAAAAATAGGGACCACTTTGGTGGGAAGGGAACAGCGTTCCGTGCGCCTTTGGCGTTGAGTCATGCCGGCCACATGACCACGGAGACGTCTTCGGACAGCGCTGGCTCTTCGGCTTTGAAACGGAGATGAGCACCGCCCCCTAGAGTCGGGAACGAGTAGCATGTATGTGCGAGGGGAACCTTTACCTTTACCTTAGAGAGAGCCATTGAGGCCACTTGGAGATTTATCTGTGATTTCCCTGAGTGTTGCTCCTGGTTCCTGTAGTCTGCAATTTTTTTCCTCTGGAAATCCATTCCTACTCCCACACCATTCAAAGGGTGTTGATACCAAATTGTAGAGCTAAATGTCTGTAGAGATTCTCAAGTCATCCAGGAGTAGGAATGGATTTCCAGAGAAAAAAATTACAGACTACAGGAACCATTTGCACCACTCAGGTGACACTGAGGACACAGAGAAACCTCCAAGTGGCCTCAACGACCCTCTAAAACAGTGTTTCTCAACCTTGGAAGCTCGAAGATGGGTGGACTTCAACTCCCAGAATTCCCCAGCCAGCAACGCTGGCTGGGGGATTCTGGGAGTTGAAGTCCACCTATCTTCAAGCTACCAAGGTTGAGAAACACTGCTCTAAAAGGATGCAAATGACCAGCTGTCTGCAAGGAATATCAATCCTTCCATTGGCTGAGAATCTCTATGGAATAATGATAATGATAATCATGATTAGAATAATAATAATAATAATAATAATAATAATATAACAGCACCAGAAGAACTGAAGAAGGTTCTTGAATGAGAAGCGAAACATTTTGAAGGAAATGTCCGGTTGCCTTTTAGAGAAAAAAACACCTTTGGGATTCATTCGAGTGATTTTCAGTCACCGTTGGTGACTTGACATTTATTTAGCTTTATTTATTTATTTTTATTTAATTTTAAAATGTCTTGTGTTCTCAAGCCTTTCGCCTTTCATCCCCTTTGCAGCGAAGGCATTTTGTGCACATTTCAGCATGCATTTCCTTTGATGTTTAACAGAATTACCCTTTTCCCCTGAAAATAAGGCTTAACGGGAAAATAAGTCCTAGCATGATTTTTCAGGATGCTCGTAAAATAAGGCCTATCCCCAAAATAAGCCCCAGTTAAGATTGTCAGCCTGATGGACGCATTTCATACTATATTTCCCCAAAAATAAGACCTAACCAGAAAATAACCCCCTAATGCGTCTTTTCGAGCAAAAATTAATATAAGACCTGGTCTTATTTTTGGGGAAACACAGGTAGCAGAGTTGGAAGGGACCTTGGAGATCAACCCACTGCAGAAGATCTTTTACCATTTCAGACAAATGGCCCTCCAATGACTTCTTAAAAACCTCCACTGATGAAGCACCCACAACTTCTGGAGGCAAATTGTTCCACTGGTTAATTCTTCTAACTGTCAGGAAATTTCTCCTTAGCAACCTAGAACTCAGGAGAAATTTCCTAACAGTGAGAACAATTAACCAGTGGAACAACTTGCCACCAGAAGTTGTGGGTGCTTCATCAGTGGAGGTTTTTAAGAAGTCATTGGAGGGCCATTTGTCTGAAATAGTATAGAATTTCCTCCCTGAGCAGGGGGTTGGACTGGAAAACTGCAAGGTCCCTTCCAACTCTGTTTTTCTATTTCTATTTTTCTGTCTCTGTTTCTGTTCCAGTCTATTCCATTCCATTCCATATTTTCCCTTCCCTTCTCATCCTCTCCTCTCCTCTCCTCTTCCATTCCATTCCATTCCATGTTCTATTCTGTATTCTGTATCTTCTCTTCTCTTCTCTTCTCTTCTCTTCTCTTCTCTTCTCTTCTCTTCTCTTCTCTTCTCTTCTCTCCTCTCCTCTCCTCTCCTCTCCTCTCCTCTCCTCTCCTCTCCTCTCCTCTCCTCTCCTCTCCTCTCCTCTCCTCTTCCTTACCTGATTATGGCTAGATCCTAACAGTCACAGCTTGTAAAGACGGGTTGTCCATTCCAGACAAGTGGCTGTCCAGTCTCTTCTTAAAAGCCTCCAGTGAACGGGGCGCCCACCACTTCTGGAGGGAAGTCGTTCCACTGATCGTTTATATGCCATGTTTCCATCCCATGGAAACGATCAGTGGAATGGATTCCCTCCAGAAGTTGGAGTTTCCATCCCTCTTCGGAGAATGTGCAGCTACCCGCATAAGCCCCTCCTGTGCCCCACCGCCCTTCTTAATTTTCCCATCCCGGTTCTGATTCTCTCGTAGGAAGGCTTCGTGATACCCGACGAAGGAGCCCCTCCGGAGGAGCAAGAGGAGTATTAACGGCCCCACCGACATTTACCAGCCGAGCAGCAGAGTCAGAAGTCCGAAAAATCTTTTGCCCCAATCATGTGCTTATCTGTAAAATACTCTTCGTTTTATTCTTAGAGGACTTTAACTGGTTTCTTTTCGAAAGTAAAACAAAACAGAAAAAACAAAAACAAAAAGAGTACCTCTTCAAGTGCACTTTGCGTAAGTTTTACTACTACTTTCCCCACCCCCCCCCCCCTCCGCTTCCGCTGGGTGTGTGTTTTTTTTTTTGTTTTTTTTTTTTGGTTTCTTTCTCTCTTTTTTTTTTTGGAGAGCTCTTTTGTCACTTTTTATAGCGGAACGATATTATCAACATCCGTTTGGTGTCGTTTGGAAGCAGGAGGTCGCCGACTCGGGGTACGCGGGGCCCCTTCATTGATGGAGGATTGGCAGTGCGGCGTGTTTGGGGAGAGGGTGGGGTGGGGTAAGCAGGAGAGGCTGCCTACGGAGCGGAAAGGTGGTCTTTCCACCAGGTGCCATGTAGGGAGAGAGGGAAGGGGGATGAATTGGGGCGTCGAGAGAACCGGAAAGCGACGGAGGATTTGAGACGCTCAGGGTGGGGGGGTGGGGGGGAAAGAGGGATATTAGAATTTTCCTCGCTTAGATTGTTCGGGGGTGCGGCTCTGGGGGGGGGGGGTGGGGGTCAGGGGCCGTGTGGAATTGGGCCCAGCGTGGCTGAGGATGTGGCAGGAGAATGGAGTTTGTAGTAGGCTCAGTTGCAAGGAAGGTGTGAAGCAGGTGCCCGAAATTGGCTTCTATGGTTCGGTGTAACCTCCAATAAAAGGGTTGTCCATTCTTGGCGACTTTTCCACCCTTGTGGGACTTCAACTCCCAGAATTCCCCAGCCAGCGCTTCATGCGCTGGCTGGGGAATTCTGGGAGTTGAAGTCCCACAAGTCTTAAAAGTTGCAAAAGTTCCGAATAAGATCCTGACTTCTCACCTCAATCTCCTCCTCCCTACTAGCCCCCGCTGCTCCACCTCTGCTCCCCTCAATAGAAGGCCCTTCTCTTCCTCTCCGCCCCCCCCTCCCTCTGCTTCCAAACTAACCCTGTTATCTTCAACAAACCAACAAACTCTGTTTTGGATGGCAGCCGCCTTCCTTTCCCACCAAGCTAGGATAGGGTTGCTGAAAGGATCGGAGAGGGCACCTGGTTGTAAACACTCCACTCTTGCTCGAACTGGACTTGCTAGTTGGGTTTTTTTAAGAGACGCCTGGGTGGGCGCCACGCCTCCGTTGCAGGGCCTCCCCTCACCCCGCCTCTTGAGTTACCTGCGCAGGTGCTGCAGAGGACTGGTGGGGGGGAAAAAAAAAGAAGAAGAGAAAAATTGCGTATTAAATAGGCGAGCCGAGGTTGCCGGAGATAATAAAGAGCGTTCCGGTGAATTTTGATTATTGCAGTATTCTGTGTTTGACCTTCTCCCTCCTCCCTTCCCTCCCCTCCCCTCCCCAATGGCTGCTCCTTGGGGAGGGGGCTTTCAGAGATTTGGGACTCTCTCCCCCCCCCACCTTCCCCTCCTCAGCCCCCCTGGCCACAGCAAAGACTAAGCTTCCGGCTTGGTGTGTTCCTTTTGTCCGTTTGCTTCCGGTGGTTGTGTGTCTCGATGTGTGTAGAAAGCAGAGTTATGGTAACTTGTTGTGTAGTGCATGATTTCCTTATGACAATTCGGCGGGAAGACCCACGTTTTGGACGAATGCCAAAAAAAAAAAAAAAAACGAAAGAAGGGAAGGAAAGAAAGAAAAAAGAAAGCCATTATTTAAACCATCAGAGGTGCTGTTTCTCTTGTGGCCTTCTAAAATACCTGTTTGCCCTAGAACGATATTCAAAACCAGACTCCTTTTGACAGGGTTTTTTTCTACTTTTAAACAGTTTCTAAATAAAGTTCTGTTATTTCAAGAACGTGGCGTCTTCTGGAGTGTCGTGTCCTTGCAAGTCCTTTTCTTTTGACGGCCTTCATTTCTGTTCCCCGTCATCCTCGGTTTGCTGTGCTTCGCACCATCTGGGTTATAGTTGCCATCGGATCTCTGGTCCAGCATCTTTGGGGTGAATTCGAAGCCCAAAGATTCGGCACCAGGCTAGAAAGTGGGAGACAGTGAGTTCTAGTCCTGCTGCCTCAGCCCTGAAAGCCAGCTGGGTGACTCGGCCAAACGCCAGGATACTGGGAGTTCTAGTCCTGCCTTAGGCAGGAAAGCCAGCGGTGGGATTTTGGGCCAATCACCAGGAGATGGTGAGTTCTAGTCCTGCCTTAGGCACAAAAAGGCAGCTGTCAGAGACTGGGAGTTCTAGTTCTGCCTTAATGAAAGTCGCCTGGGTGTCTTTAGGCTAAACACCAGGAGATTTGGGGTCAATCACCTGGAGGCGGTGAGTTCTAGTTCCGCCTTAGGCATGAGAGCCAGCTGGGTGACTTTGGGCCAATCACCAGGAGACGGTGAGTTCTAGTCCTGCCTTAGGCATGAGAGCCAGCTGGGTGACTTTGGGGCAATCACCAGGAGACTGGGAGTTCTAGTCCCGTCTTAGGCATGAAAGCCAGCTGGGTGACTTTGGGCCAATCACCAGGAGACGGTGAGTTCTAGTCCTGCCTTAGGCATGAAAGCCAGCTGGGTGACTTTGGGCCAATCACCATACCAGGAGACGGTGAGTTCTAGTCCCGCCTTAGGCATGAGAGCAAGTTGGGTGACTTTGGGCCAATCACCAGGAGATGGGGAGTTCCAGTCCCACCTTAGGAAGTCTGGCTAGGTCACCTGTTTGGCTGAGTGAGCTCTCGATGCTCCAGGGAAGAGTTGATCGTGGTTTTCACGACTCCTGTGTTGCCTGGTCTTCAACCAACATCTGGGACCAACCCATCAAGAGAAAGTTCCGTCTTCTATCTTCACCTGTGTCAACAGAAGGAAATAGATAAAAGCCAACGCTGGTCTGGAGGAAGACAAAAATAAACCCTTACAATTTAGGGCAAGGTCAGTTGTAGAGATCATCCAGGGACAGGCTCCAAATAATCTAATCCATGTCTTGCATCGCTGATCTATGCACATCAAGATTTGTAATGGCAGCAACGTGTAAATCGGTCAAGCAGAGCCACAGGTGGTCCTCAGCTTACAGCCACGAATAGAGCCCCAAATTTCTGTTGCTAAGTGAGACAAGTGAATTTTCTCACATTTTACGACCTTTCTTGCCACAGTTATTAAGTTTTATTTATTTATTTATTATTTAAATTTCTATACCGCCCTTCTCCAAAATAGGACTCAGGGCGGTGAACAGCCAAAGTAAAAAACAATACATACAAAATTTAAAAGCAGTTTAAAATAATTAAATATTTTGGCCGTAAATTAAAGTTAATCATGGCAGTTGGGAAGTTAAGTAACACGCTTGCTAAATGAATCCGATTTTGCTTCTTGGGGGGACGGTGACCCCTGGGACACTGCAACCGTCATAAGTACATGCCAGTTGCCATGCCTCCGAATTTTGATCACATGACCATGGGGAAGCTGCGATGGTCGTAAGTGAAAGACGGCCGTAAATCCATTTTTTCAGTGCCGTCACCAGATATTGTAAGTCGTCGTACGTGGTGAATTTTTTAAGTATAATGTACACTGAAGATGGCATTTAATTTCATTGTACGAGGTGCGATGACAAAGTAAAGTGAAAAGACAGAGGAGAAACTGGTCTCACGATGGAGAAGGAGGTCCAATGTTCTGATGAATAAACACAACAAGGAGTTGGAAGTGGAAATCGAGCCCAGCAGCTGAAATCTCTGAAGCCCCTGGAGGTAGGGATGGGGATCTACCTGAGATCACCCTGAGATCCTGGTGGCCAGATCATACTATCATATGTGGTGGTCATGTTTAGAAGCAAAAAATTATTGGTCTAGAATACAGAAATGGTTGGAAGAAATATTACATAAATCTATAGAATTAAAACCAGAGGTTTTTTTTTTTATTGTGTATTCTCCTAGAGATATATATAGTAAAGAAGATGTGTATTTAACCCACTATCTGGAACGAGCTCCCCGCAGAGATAGGGAGGATCCCGGATCTACGCACTTTCCGCCGTGCTCTTAAGATTCTTCTATTCCAGCAAGCCGGCCTGGCCTAATTTTCTCCCCTGTTTTAAAATTCTTTTACATCGAAATTTTAATTTGTTTTAAATTATTGGGATTTTTAATTGTCTTGGGCTAAATTATTTAATCTGGTTTTAATTATATCTTTTAATTATATCTTTTAACTAGCTCCCAGTTTGGACCAGATCGCCCGATCCGGTAGCGATGGAGGCGGGTGGTTCGGAGAACCGGTAGCAAAAATCCCTGCCCCCCCCCCACATACCCAGCTGAGCCGCACAATCATCAGAGGCTTTTTTTTTAACTTTTAAAAGCATTTTTTCTACAACCTCTTCGGCCGAAAAATGCTTTAAAAGTAAAAAAAAAAAAGAAAAAAAGACTGATGATCACGTGGCTCAGCTGGGATCGTCAGAGGCTTTTAGAAGCATTTTTTCTACAACCTCTGAAGAAATGCTTTTAAAAGCCTTTGACGATCCCAGCTGAGTTCCCTGATCGGCAGAGGCATTTAAAAGAAAAAAAAAGCTTCTGCCGATCAGGAAACTCAGCTGGGATCGTCAGAGCCTTTTGAAAGCATCTTTTTACAACCTCTTCGCCGAAGAGGTGGTAGAAAAAATGATTTTAAAAGAAAAAAAAAAATGGCCACGCCCACCCAGTCACATTACCCCCAAGCCACGCCCACAGAATTGGTAGTAACAAATTTTAGATTTCACCACTGGAAAATGTATATGTAGGATTAATTATGTATTATTATTATTATTATTATTATTATTATTATTATTATTATTATTATTATTATTAATTTAATTAATTAATTAATTAATTAATTAAATTTTTATACCGCCCTTCTCCCGAAGGACTCAGGGCGGTGAACAGCCAAGATTAAAATACATACAATGTGAAAATTAAAATAATTTAAAAGCGTGATTAAATTAATTTGGCTTCCCCAATTTAAAACCCCTTACCCATAAAATAAAAATGTAAAAATGTATAAGAAAATGTACATTTTATGTTATGTATGTAAGAAATAAAGTTGAAAAACTTTTTAAAAAAGAAAAAAAAAGATCCTGGTGGCCAAAAGACTTAAAAAATGGGAAGCTACCAGAGATGCGACTTGACCCAACAGCACCGAGGAGGCCTGACCGCACAGAGGAGAAGAGAAGAGTGGAGAAGAGGAGGAGATTCACGGGAGAAGAAGAGCAGCTGAAAGGTTGAGGGATACGGGTCAGTTGACAAAATAACCGCTCTCCAAAGTGAGACACAAGTAGGGCTTGATGCCCTGAGATACGACCACCACGGTGATGGTGGCGGTTACTCACCTATGGTCCTAATGAAAGAAAGGCATGATGGCCTTACATGTCTATGGAGGTTCTCCGTCATCCAGGTCCTAAAGATGCTTTTTCAGGAGGCAACTGGACTTCCTTGTTTTTTCCTTTGAAGACATTTCACTTCTCATCCAAGAAGCTTCTTCAGCTCTGACTGGATGGTGGGGAAGGGAAGGATTTATATTCCTTGCAGACAGCTGGTCATTTGCATCCTTTTAGAGAGTCCTTGATGTCACCTGGAGTTTTACCTGTGTCCTCAGGGTCACCTGAGTGGTGCAAATGTGTGTGGAGCTTTCTTGGAACTACTGAAAGGACTGTGTTGTAGACTGGAAGTAGATGATGTCGTATCCCCTCCCCCCTCTGTTGAGAGAGGGGCTGTTCAATTTGGCCATAGATGGCCTCTTTGACCCCTCTTTCAAATTAGCATTCCTCTCTGTCCAAAATGTGGACTTTGCTGTCGTCAAAAGAGTGGCCTTTGTCTTTTTTTTTTATTATTATTTGATTTATATGCCGCCCTTCTCCGAAGACTCAGGGCGGCTTACAATGCGTTAAGCAATAGCCTTCATCCTTTTGTACATTTATACAAAGTCAGCTTATTGCCCCCACAAACTGGGTCCTCATTTTACCTACCTTAGAAAGGATGGAAGGCTGAGTCGACCTTGAGCCTTGGCGAGATTCGAACCCTGCAGTAATTGCAGGCAGCTGGTCTTAATAACCAGCTTAATAACAGGGTGCCTTAAACCCCTGTACTACCAAGGCTCCTCTTTTAAATGCAGATGGACTGCTGAATCTCGTCCTGATGCGTTTGTTCTCCTATGTTGTGCCATGCGTTTGTGAAATGGCTGTTTTGTTTCCCCAATGTACAGATCTGCACAAGTCTCACTGCATTGTACTGCGTATACGAGGTTGCTCAATACAGGGCTTTGGACCAAGTTATTTGAAGGACCATCTTTTCCCAGTCACATCTATTGGACTGTGGGCTATGGGCTTTTCAATTTGACCCCTGTTTCAAACAAGTGGTCCTCTCTGTCCAAAATGTGGACTTTGCTGTCTTCAAAAGAGTGGCCTTTGTCTTTGAAGTGCAGATGGACTGCTGGATCTAGCCCTGATGCATTTGTTCTCCTATGTGGTGCCATGTGTTGTGACATCACCTATCTCCAATCTACAACACAGTCCTTTCAGCGGTTCCACGAAGGCTCCACCTATTTGTAACCCTGAGGACACAAACCTACAAGTGGCTTTGATGACCCTCTAAAAAGGATGCAAATGACCAGGTCTCTTCAAGGAGTATAAACCCTTCCCTTCCCCACCATCCAGTCAGAGCTGAAGAAGCTTCTTGGATGAGAAGCAAAATGTCTTCTAAGAAAAACCAGAAGTTCCAGTTGCCTCTTGGGAAAAGAAAAACACCTTTGGGACATGATGGTCCTACATGCTTCTTCTCGCTCCTCCAGAATTAGCCAATTCTCTTTGTTCAACCTAAGAACAGTTGCAGAAGCTCTCCACCCCAGAAGAGGTGAAAGGATTGGGGAGGTCTAGAGATGAGAAACCACTTCATGGAGCTCCATGCCTCCATGTTTTGAGGGTCCTTTCCTTGCTTTCTGCCAAGTTCTGAGAACCATCTCATCCTGGCAAGCATTGGTAGGACTGATGGACCTGGGATACGGATCCTTTGTTAGAGTTGGCTTGCAAGGTAGGATGTGGAGAAGGTGTGCCTTGTAAACTAGCCTTCAGTCTTTGGAGCAGGGTTCAGGTTGTCCCAACGGTGGGTTCCCAAAGGAAGAAAAGATGGTTCCCAAAGGAAGAAAAGATGGCCCAAAAGAGGTAGGATGACGACATGAGTGAAAGACCTCATCGCGACTAGAAAACTTGAGTAGGGAAGCCCAGCATCGGGAACTCCAGATGTTCTGGGAAGTGAGATCACAGTTCCAAAGTTTGACATCACAGTTGAGTTTGTGGGGAGCCGAGAAGTGGAGAAAGTTCAGGTTGGACCTCCTGAATCGGTGCCTAAACATGCAACAGGAGTCCTACCCTCGAACCCATGGTTCTTGGTTAGGGAGGAACCTCAACTCTCTCGGGAGTTCGGGGAACGAGTCTCAAATCAGCACTCTAGGAAAGCTGAGTCTCTATGCCTCTGTCACGTGGTGAGTGGAGGTCTCTGGGGGTGGTCCTTTTACCAGGTCTAGAAAGAGTGCAGAGGAGAGCCACCAAGATGGTTAGGAAACTGGAGGCTAAAACATACGAAGAACGGTTGCAAGAACTGGGCATGGCTGGTCTAGTGAAGAGAAGGACCAGGAGAGACAGGATATTAGGATTTCAATCAGTGGTGAAATCTAAAATTTTGTTACTACCGGTTCTGTCGGCGTGGCTTGGTGTATGTGTGTGGGTAATGTGACCAGGTGGACGTGGCCAATTTTTTTTTTTTACTTTTAAAACCATTTTTTCTACAACCTCAAAGAGGTTGTTAAAAAATGCTTTTAAAAGCCTCTGACATTCCCAGCTGAGCCGAGCGATCATCAGAGGCTTTTTTTTTTTTACTTTTAAAAGCATTTTTTCGGCTGAAGAGGTTGTAGAAATAATGCTTTTAAACGTAAAAAAAAAAAGCCTCTGATGATTGCGTGGCTCAGCTGGGAATGGGGGGGGGGGGGGGCAGGGATTTTTGCTACTGGTTCTCCGAACCACCCACCTCCATCGCTACCGGATCGGGCAATCTGGTCCGAACCGGGAGCATTTCACCCCTGGTTGGTTCCAATATCTGGAACAAAGAAGGGGTGGTAGTGTCTATCTATTCTCCAAAGCCCCCGAGGGCAGGACAAGAAACTCAGCAATTGCCGTGGGTGGGAGTGTGTTTGGGGATTGTTATTTATTTTATTTATTATTCATATTTCTATGCCGCCCACTCTCCGAGGACTCTGGGCGGCTTACACCAAAGACAGTCTACTAAATAGCATATTGCCCCCTAACAATCTGGGTCCTCATTTTACCCACCTCGGAAGGATGGAAGGCTGAGTCAACCTTGAGCCGGTGAGATTTGATCCACTGATCTGCTGAACTAGAAGTCAACTGAAGTAGCTGCAGTACTGCACCCTAACCAGTGAGCCACCTCGGCTCTTCACCGAGGTGTAATATGTGTTGGACTTGGTCTTTGGGTGTTAAGTGAATTTCATTGTATGGGTGTACTGTGTATACACGTACAATGACAATAAAGTTATTTATTTATTTTATTTATCAAGGAGAGAAGCTTCCTAACAGTGAGGACAATTAACCAGTGGGACAACTTGCCTCCAGAAGAGATTGGATAGCCACTTGTCTGAAATGTAATAGAGTCTCCTGCCGGAGCAAGGGGTTGGGTTAGAAGACCTCCAAGGTCCCTTCTGTTAAAAAGGAGTAGAAGATTTCCCACCTCTCTCTTGTTATCCATGGCTAAAGTTGGGTTCACTCATTCATTTCTTTAATCCCAGCTTCTTCCATAAATTGCAGTTGGCTTGAGCAACTGCACAAGGGTACATGGTCAGGAATCCACAACACCCGAAGATGTGAGATGAATGTTGCTTTGGTTACATTCACACAATATGTTGCATGGAAGCTGAAATGAGCTTTGGATAGCTTAGGGGTTCGAGGTGTCGTGGGCATCCGACCATGGTTATGGAAGTGTTTCTCAACTTGGAAGTTGAGCGGACATCAATTCCCAGAATTTCACAGCCAGCCATGCTGAAGTCCACGTATCTTAACGTTGCTAAGGTTGAGAAACTGCTCAGGATTGACAGTTATGTTCATGGACTCAGCTCCTTTTTAATGATCCCCAGGATTGACTTTGATTGGGGGTGGACCTTTCAAATCAGGGGTCTCCAACCTTGACAACTTTAAGACCTGTGGACTTCAATTCCCAGCTGGCTGAGGAACACTGGGAGTTGAAGTCCACAGGACTTAAAATTGCCAAGGTTGGAGACCCCTGTTCCAAATGATCTTGCATGGAAGTCCACTTTATGTTACCCATGAACCGAGAGAGCATACGAGGAGTAAGGGTATGCAATTGGTAGATTATCTTGAGGGCTCCTTGGTGCTCTCTGAACTTGGTTGCTTCGTGCAGACATTTCAATACCCAAACTAGGTAACTTCATCAGTGCTAGTCGCTACTACTAACACTAGTAGTGATGTCCCCTAGTTGGGTCATGAAAGATATACAAGAGAACAACCAAACTCAGAGAGCAACAAGGACCCCACAGCTCTCCTCCTCTTCTTCCTCCACCCCCCCCACGTCTAGCACGGAAGATGTTCCCTAGTTGGGTCATGAAATATCTGCAAGAAAACAACTCAGCTCAGAAGGCACCTTGGACCACCTCCTCCTCCTCCTCCTCCTCCTCCTCCTCCTCCTCCTCCTCTTTCCTCTCCCTCCTCCTCCTCCTCCTCCTCCTCCTCCTCCTCCTCTTTCTCCTCAACCCAATTCCCTTGTAGCACTGAAGATGTTCCCTAGTTGGGTCATGAAATATCTGCAAGAAAAAAACTCAGCTCAGAAGGCACCTTGGACGACCTCCTCCTCCTCCTCCTCCTCCTCCTTGTTCTCGTCCTCCATCCAAGCACCATTCCCTTCTAACACTGATGATGTTGCCTAGTTCGGTCAGGAAACATTTGCAAGAAAACCACCAAGCTCAGAGACGATCAGGGACCTCCTCCTCCTCCTCCTCCTCCTCCTCCTCCTCCTCCTCCTCCGTGCAACACCATTCCCTTCTAGCACTGATGATGTTGCCTAGCTGGGTCATGAAAGAACCAAAGACCTGAGAGATCGACCCTGAGCTACAAATCCTTCTCTCCTTTTTTCAGTCCTGGACCGAATCCTGCATCTGGATGGGGACCTTTGGCTCCGCTGACCACAGGCTAGCATTCATGGTCTTATAGGTGATGTTGGCTTGTCTCTCTTTTTCCAGGGGAGGTGTGGATTCCGAGGGAGATGTGGCCTTTAAACAAGTAGCACAGGCTCCACCTCCTGCAGTAAGTACCTGCTTACCCCTCTGGCTCCCCACAAGTCGCAAGGAGCTACTGGAAAAAGGGCCACAGCCCAGTGTTGAGGAGGCCTAGTGGTCATCTCCTCCGGGGTTGCTTTTCTCCTCAAGCTTTGCTCCATATCCAGACCAGCTCCAAGTGCCTGGCTTGGTCTGGGACCCCCCTCCCACACGGAGCCCTGGGTTTTCTTTAAAGATTACAGGTAGTCCTGGACTTTACGACCACAACAGAATTTCTGTTGCTAAGCGAAACCTTTGTTAAGTGAGTTTTGCCCCATTTTTCCGACTTTTCTTGCCACCGTTGTTAAGTGAATCCCTGCAGTGGATAAGTGAGTAAAACGGCCGTTAAGTGAATCTGGCTTCCCCCCATTGACTTTGCTCGTCGGAGGGTTGCAAGAGGGGATCATGGGACTCAGGGACACTGCGACCGTCATAAATATGGGTCAGTTGCCAAGAGTCTGAATTTGGATCATGTGAGTACGGGGGTTCTGCAACGGTCGTAAGTGTGAAACACTTTTTTCAACTGTTGTAAGTCAAGGACTACCTGTATTCTTCGTTCCCTTCAGCTATACAGGTAGTCCTCGACTTACAACAATTCGTTTAGTGACCGTTCAAAGTTACAACGGCAGTGAAAAGAGTGACTTGTGACCCGTTTTCACACTTACGACCGTTGCAGCGTCCCCTTGGTCACACGATCATAATTTGGACACCTGGCAACTGACTCATGTTTATGATGATCGCTGTCAGCACTCCAAACTACATTCGTTCCAGTGCTGACATAAGGAGGAGAAGAGGGGACAGCTGGCAAGAGGACGCTTGACTTTTCACCTACTTATTTTCCCTGAAGATAATATCCCCTAGGAGATGGGATGGGAGGGGGGACATTCCTGGGAGCTGAAGTAGTAGATATGGGGAGAGTGATTTGTGAAGAGGGCCAATGAGACGCAGAGAATTGGGGAACGGAAAGGGAAGGTTTGGGGTCAGGAAGTCAGTGTTGGCTACGATGTAGTCAGGAACAGATTGTCGTGCTTAATAAATGAAAGATTTCATCAAAGACTATTTGTTTGGAAATGCAATTTATTTGAGACGACACTGAAACCTGACAGTCGCGGTGTGTCCCCGGGGGTGGGTGGGTCACGTGATCCCCTTTCCGCGACCTCCTGACCAGCAAAGTCAATGGGGAAGCCGGTTTCACTTAACAACCGTGTTACTCACCTAACAACTGCAGCAAGGAAGTTTGTCAAATGGGCAGTCAACCGATTTTCTCGGTTAGCGACAGAAACGTTGGGCACAACATTGTGGTCGTAAGTCGAGGACCGTCTGTAGTCCCAAGGACAAAGGATGTTCTGGTCCTTCACCCAGATGAGGCTTCCGGGAATCCTGAGCAAGGCCGGCCGCCTGTGCTCATCCCACCGGCACATGATGAAGTTTGCAGATTTCTACGACGAAGCCCGTTGCAAACAGCTGGAAGAACAGATCAACTATGACCACCTGCAGAAACTGGAGCGGACGTTCCGAGAAGCAGATGTGGACGGAGAAGGTGAGGAAGGCCCTCCCTTGCCTGGTGGGTGGAAAGAGTGGGACACAACCTCTTGAGATCCCAAAGGTGCTTTTTTTCAGGAGGCAACTGGACCTTCTTGTTTTTTCTTTTGAAGAGGTTTCGCTTCTCATCCAAGAAGCTTCTTCCGCTCTGACTGGATGGTGGGGAAGGGAAGGATTGATATTCCTTGCAGGCAGCTGCATCCTTTGAGAAAGTCATTGAGGCCACTTGGAGGTTTACCTGTGTCCTCAGGGACACCTGAGTGTGCTGTGGCTCCGTTACCTGAGCCTGTGTCATCGGCAGGAGAGGACTCCGAGAGTGAAGGAGAGGAGTTGGCAAGGCCTCCCTCTCCAGGACCCTCCTCTCTGGCAATGCCTTCGGTGTCCGCCGAAGGGCAAGAGATAGGGCCGGGGCCAAGCACATCCACGCAGCCACAGATGGACAGTGATGAGGGAGATGAGTCTTGGCTGGATCCACGCCAGCGTCGCAGAGATAAGCGCGCGCAACAGAAGAAAAGGCGTGCCCGAGATTAGGCTGAGTCACTGGACCACACCCCACAGGGTATAAAAGGGAGCGTGGTGGCCAGTCAAACCTTGTGACGAACAAAGCTGAAAGCTTCCACGCCATTCTGCATTGCCGGACTTTTGCTATAGACTTTGCTGGATTATTTTTGGACTTGATTTACTCTGTAATTATTGAACATTTTACTTTGATGTACCAGAAGCAGAGAGAAGTTATCTCTTCTCTTCATGAGTAGTAAACTCTTGGCAGGCAGCCACTAAGTTGCTGCCAAGTTCCATTATCATAAGGAAAAGGATTTTGTCGGCTGGTTTGGTTTTTAACTCTTGGACGTCTGTTGGTGTGTGCGCATGTGGGACGGGGACAGAACAGAGTGGTGGAAATGGTTCCTGTAGTCTGCAATTTTTCTCGAAATCCATTCATACTCCCAACACCATTCGAAGTGTATTCTTCAAAGAAAAAACTGGAAAGTCCAGTTGCCTCCTGAAAAAGCACCTTTGGGACAACCATGACCTGAATCTCTACAGATTTTTAGTTATGCAATTTGGGATGAAGATCATTGGAATGGTGTGGGAATAAGGAATGGATTTCCAGAGGGAAAAATTGCAGACTACAGCAACTATTTGCACCACTCAGGTGACCCTGAGGACACAGAGAAAGCTCCAAGTGGCCTCAACGACCCTCTAAAAGGATGCAAATGACCAGCTGCCTGCAAGGAATATAAATCCTTCCCTTCCCCACCATCCAGTCAGAGTGTTCTGTCCCCGTACCACACACGCACCCCCCACAGACGGCCCGGAGTTAATAAGCCACACGACAAAACTCTTTGAAGATAAAGCTGGCAGCAACCCAGTGGCTAGCTGCCAATTCAGACTTTACTCACACAAAACAAAGATTAGACTGCAAGCATTCCGATGAAACAGGCAGAGTTTTCAACAATACAAGGATTAATCCAAATGCAATCTGATAAAGCAGGCAAAGTCCAGTAACGCAGAGATCAAGGATTAGTTCTAGTTTTTGCTCGTCACAAACTGAACCGGCCACCACACCCACATTTATACCCTGTGGGGTGTGGTCCAGTGACTCAGCTAATCTCTGGTACGTCTTCCCCTCTGCTGCGCACGCTTCTCCCTGCGCCTCTGCCGAGGGTCCAGCCAGCACTTATCTCCTTCGTCGCTGTCCATCTGTGGCTGAGGGGACGTGCTTGGCTCTGAGCCTATCGTTTGGCCTTCGGTGTCCTCCGGAGGCATTGCCAGAGAGGAGGGTCCTGGAGAGGGAGGCCTTGCCAACTCCTCCCCTTCACTCTCAGAGTCTCCATCTGTCGATAGCCCAGGCTCAGGCAACGGAGCCACAACACAGAGCTGAAGAAGCTGCTTGGATGAGAAGCGAAACGTCTTCAAAAGAAAAAAAACACAGAAAGTCCACTTGCCTCCTGAAAAAGCACCTTTGGGACAACCAGGACCTGAATGACTGAGAATCTCTACAGACTTGTAACCACTTGAGATCTTCTCCCAGTCCTGGAAACACCAAGCGGAAAAAAAAAACATTCTTGGTATCTCCAGGACCTGGGATGAGATCTCACCACAGATTGGCTTCCCTTTTTGGTTCTTGTTAGGCCTTGACATGGAACGGTTCCGTAAAGCAATCAAGAAGATCCTGGGAGAACTTTCTGATGAAGATGTGGATGTCATTTTCATGAAGGTGGACGCCAACTGTGATGGCTCTGTGGACTGGGTAGGGGGCCTTCTTTTGACTACAAAGCCCCTTCCCCGCTTTTCCCCCAACCCCCAAGGTTGCCATTATCTCCTCCAAAGGGAGGCCCACCAGGTGTGTTGGACTACAAAGCCCCTCGTCTTGATTTCCGCGTTGTTTCTTGGTTCCATCCTTCATCACTTCCCTCCCGTTTCTCAGGCCCATCTCCCTGCTGGGCTTGGAGTGGTAGCTTGCAGGCTCTTTCCAGTCAAAGATAGTTTTGACTTACTCTTCCCCTTGCAAGAGCAGAGGTGGCCTAACCACAGGGAGCATCTGCTTTGCAGGAGGAGTACTTGAATTACATGCTCCGGGAATATCGTGGGAAGGACGACATGCTGAAGAGCAAGTGGCTTCCAGAGTTCCAGACAAACATGAAAAGCATCTCGGTGTAAGGGACCCCTTGAGGGTGGCCTCCATAAATAACAACTCTTCTTCTTCTTCTTCTTCTTCTTCTTCTTCTTCTTCTTCTTCTTCTCTTCTTCTTCTTCTTCTTCTTCTTCTTCTTCTTCTTCTTCTTTCTTCTTCTTCTTCTCTTCTTCTTCTTCTCTTCTTCTTCTTCTTCTTCTTCTTCTTCTTCTTCTTCTTCTTCTTCTCCTCCTCCTCCTCCTCCTCCTCCTCCTCCTCCTCCCCTTCTTGTCTTCTTCTTCCTCTCCCTCTCCTTCCTCTTGTTCTTTGTCTTCCTCCTCCCCTTCTTCTCTTCCTCCCCCTCTCCCTCTCCCTCTTCTTCTTCCTTCTCTTCCTCCTCCTCCTGTTTCTTGTTTCTTGTTTCTTTTCCCCTCCTCCTCCTCCTCTTCTTCTTCTCCTCCTCCTCCTTCTCCTTCTTCTCCTCCTCCTTCTTCTCCTTCTCTTCCTCCTCCTCCTCCTCCCCTCCTTCTCTTCTTCCTCTCCCTCTTCCTCCTCTTCCTCTTTGTCCTCCTCCTCCTCCCCTTCTTCTCTTCCTCTTCCTCTTCCTCTTCCTCTTCCTCTTCCTCTTCCTCCTCTTCCTCCTCCTGTTTCTTGTTTCTTTCCTTCTCCTCCCCCTCCTCCTCCTCCTTTCCCACCTTACTAGCAATGTGGGAATCTTCCTCTAGCTGTCCCATCCTGCCCCCCAACCTGGCATTCTATGATGACAATTGAAAAGCACCCAAAGAGACGCCCCATTTATGGGCTGCCACCTTCCCCTCCGCACCTTCCTTCCTGTCCTCCCTGCAGGTCCCACTCGGAGGACATTGTCCGGATCCAGTTTTTTCCGAGCCAGACTCGGGGCGTCATGGACCACAGGGAGAGATCGTGGAAAAGTAGCAGCCGGCCCCCCTCGGGACGATTCCTGACCGTGAGCAGAGACGGCATCTTGCATTACTGGAGCGATGCCTTTAAGATGCTCCGGACAGTCTATGTAGGTGGCTCAGTTTCTTTCTTTTTTTTTTTTAATTTTTTAAAAGTTTTTTATTTTAAACACATTAAAAACACATTAAAAATCAAACATATACATTCAACAAAAAGTAACACAAAAAAGAAAAATATCCCTTTTCTTTCAGCTATACACAGCTGTCTGCTCTTTCTATACATCAATATTTACAAATATTTAAGTATATACTAATTTGACATTCATTTTCTACTTTATATCATTTCTTCTTTACTAACAAAAGATCATACACATTTTCCCCTTCCTTTCTTCATTCATTTAACTTATTTCCTTATGTTTCAACCATTCATACCATCTACTCCAAACCTTATAATACTTTGATTCTTCTTTCCCCTTAATTTCTTTAGTTAATTTATCTAATTCTGCACATTCTAGAATTTTTTTAATTAAATCATCTTCCGTTGGTAGTGTTTCCTTCTTCCAATATTGTACATATACAATATGTGCTGCAGTCAATATATGCAATATAAGGTACTGTATTTCTTTAGTATAATTGTCTATTGAGATTCCTAGCAGAAATTGTTCCAGTTTTCCCTCTATTGGGTTCTGAATTATTTCTACTATCCAAGTTTTGATTTTCTTCCAGAATTTTTGTGCCATCGTACAGGTCCACCATTAGTGATAGTATGTTCCGTAGCCAGTCTTGCACTTCCAACATTTCGGGGAGTTGGTAGGGAACATTTTCGCAATTCTGGCCGGTGGGAGGTGCCATCTATAAAACATTTTCGTCTGGTTTTCCTTGTATGCTGTCACAATTGTTAGTTTCATGTTCGTTTTCCACATCCTCTCCAGGTGGCTCAGTTTCTTATGGGGGTCGGTGGGGGATGGTATCCAAGATCCCCTTAGGAAGCCCCCCCCCTTGGTATCCCTTGGCATTTATGGATGGACACCAACCAAGGAGAGAAGCGGTCTAGACTTAAGGAGAAAATTTCCTGACAGTGAGGACAATTAACCAGTGGAACTGCTTGCCACCAGAAGTTGTGGCTGCTCCATCACTGGAGGTATTTAGGAAGAAGCCATTTGTCTGAAATGGTGTATGGCCTCCTGCTTGAGCAGGGGGTTGGACTAGATGACCTCCCAGGTCCCTTCCAACTCTGTTATACTGTTATTCTGTTTACATGTTCTCCAAAGCACCTGAAGGCAGGTTAAGAGGCAACGGATGGAAACTCATCAAGGAGAGAAACAACTGAGAACTAAGGAGAAATTTCCTGACAGTGAGAACAATTTATCAGTGGAACAGCTTGCCACCAGAAGTTGTGGGGGCTCCATCATGGTTGTCCCAAAGGTGCTTTTTCAAGAGGCAACTGGACTTTTCAGTTTTTCTTTGAAGACGTTTCACTTCTCATCCAAGAAGCTTCTTCAGCTCTGGCTCGATGGTGGGAAATGGAAGGATTTATATTCCTTTCAGATAGCTGTATAAATCCTTCCGTTCTCCACCATCCAGTCAGAGCTGAAGAAGCTTCTTGGATAAGAAGTGAAATGTCTTCAAAGAAAAACCAGAAAGTCCAGTTGCCTCCTGAAAAAGCACCTTTGGGACAACCATGCCCTGGATGATGGAGAATCTCTATAGACATCCATCACTGGAGGTTTTTAAGAAGAGATAGGACAACCATTTGCCCAAAATGAGATGGGGTCTCCCGCTTGGTTGGGGGGTTGGACTAGATGACCTCCAAGGTCCCTTCCAACTCTGTTACTCTCTGTTCTATCTTCTCGTTCCTCACCATAGCTGGACCAGACGAAGCGACGTCACAGTTTGAAGCTCTGGGTGATTGACATGTTATGCCTGCCCAACCTTAACCTCTTGGCGGTTTCCACCACAGACCAGGATATTGGTAAGCTAATTGCCACGATGACCCCTTGATTTGGGACTCTTGCGGGTGTGTGTGTGTATGTGTCACCATGTGCTGAAAATACCAGGCTCTCCCTCTGAAGAATGATGGTGTTTCTTCTAATAGACTAAGGGTGTCCAACCTTGGCAACTTTGAGACTGATGGACTTCAACTCCCAGAATTCCTCAGCCCGCATGGTTGAAGTGGAGTTGAAGTCCACAAGGCTTAAAGTTGCCAAAGTTGGACACCCCTGTAATAGACCATTGTTTGTGAAAGTTGGCAATTTTAAGACAGGTGGACTTCAACTCCCAGAATTCCATTTCCCAGAAAGATGGAGTTCAACTCCCAGAATTCCATTTCCTGCAGGTGTGGACTTCAGCTCCCAGAATTTCACTCCCAGAAAGGTGGACTTCAACTCCCAGAATTCCATTTCCCGCAGCTATGAACTTCAACTCCCAGAATTCCACTCCCAGAAGTCCAGATTGTGTGGACTTCAACTCCGAATATGCTGGCTGGGGAATTCTTGGCGTTGAAGTTCACCAACCTTAAAGTTGCCACATTTGGAAAAAGATTTTGCTAGATGAACAAGCTGTGAGACCATGTAGGACATGCTAGTCTTCTGAAGTGGAAGTGGTCATCCATGTGCTGGTCAGAAACAGGATGTGGTGGGTCAGGCTCCAACTGGACAGCCTCCAAGAATTCAGGAGAAACTTCCTGACAGTGCGAACAATTAACTGGTGGAATGTCTTGCCTTCAGAAGTTGTGGATACTCCATCACTGGAGGTGTTTAAGAAGAGATTGGACAACCCTTTGTCTGAAATAGTATAGGTTGGACTAGAAGACCTCCAAAGTCCCTTCCAGCTCTATTCTGAATGAATGGTCAATCTGGTTTTTTTTTTTTTGTGGTGGACAACTGAAGTCTCCTGGAGTTGAGTTTCCATCCTTCCTTCCCTTTTACTTCTCAACATGGTCTGTTTGTTGATTCCTGTGAGCAAACTTCCAGGTTTCCATGGTTATGAAGCACCTGTAAAGTTTCCTCTTTTGTCAAAAAGACGGCTCATCTTTGAGAGGATTAAGTAGGTTTCCTGGAGGCCTTTTGACCCTCCAAACTTGGAGAAGACAAGCTTGTGTGTCCCCTTTGTCTTCTAAATGTCCCTTTCCTCTGGACAAATACTTCGAACATTGCAGATTCTCTTTAGCAGGACGCCTACAACTTGCCTTCGCCCAAATCCACAAGGAAGGGAAAATTAGAAATCAGGATGAAATACACCATGATCCAGGGCAGGGGTCTCCAAACTTGGCCATTTTAAGACTTGGGGACTTCAACTCCCAGAATACCCCAGCCAGCCATGCAAATGGCTTCCCCCTTGAGTTTTTTTTTTTTTTTTTTAAATTTGATTTATATGCCGCCCTTCTCCGGAGACTCAGGGCGACTTACAATGCGTTAAGCAATAACCTTCATATTTTTGTATATTTTATACAAAGTCAGCTTAATTGCCCCCACAAACTGGGTCCTCAATTTACCTACCTTAGAAAGGATGGAAGGCTGAGTCAACCTTGAGCCTGGCGAGATTCGAACTTACTAATTGCAGACAGCTGGAGTTAAATTACAATGCATTAGTCTGCTGAGCTATCCAGGCTCAGTTTGCTCATCCGAAGGTCGCAAAAGCAGATCACACGACCCCAGGAGGCTGCAATCGTCATAAATAGGAACCAGTTGCCAAGCGTCTGAATTCCCCCCCCAATTTTATTTATACATTTTTCTTTAACATATATAAGTATTTAGTAAACAGTGTATTTTCTGGGTTATTTTACATATATTTATTTTATTTTATTTATTTATTTATTTATTCAGTTTGTATGCCACGCCTCTCCGAAGACTCAGGGCGGCTCACAATGCATTTAAAATCATTATAAAAAACATTATATACATAATTTTAGTAATAATAATAATATTCTTTACTTGTGTATAATAATGTTCTTCCAACTTCCAATTTCTACTTTTATTATCTAACCATTGATAAAACAAATCCCAAGTTAGAAAATGCTCTGTATCTTCTTTGTCCTTTATCTTTAATGTTAATCTATCCATTTCCGCACGATCTAGTATTTTTAAAATTATATTTTCATCTGTAGGAGTTTCCTCATTTTTCCAGTATTGTGCAAATCCAATTCTCGCTGCCGTCAAAACATGTAGTATTAAATATACATTCCTTTTGTCATATTTTTCTGACAATATACCTAACAGAAATATCTCTGGCTTTCAATCTATGTGTTGCTTTATCAATTTCTCTAACACAGAGGTCTTCAAACTTGACAGTTTTAAGACTTGTGGACTTCAACTCCCAGAATTCTCCAGCCAGCATAGCATAGCTGGCTGGGGAATTCTGGGAGTTGAAGTCCACAAGTCTTAAAGCTGCCAAGTTTGAAGACCTCTGCTCTAACATGTATCAGTGGTGAAATCCAAATTTTTTTACTACCAGTTCTGTGGGCGTGGCTTGGTGGGCGTGGCAGGGGAAGGATACTGCAAAATCTCCATTCCCTCCCCACTGTGGGGCCAGCCAGAGGTGGTATTTGCCGGTTCTCTGAACTACTCAAAATTTCCGCTACCGGTTCTCCAGAACCTGTCAGAACCTGCTGGATTTTACCCTTGCCATGTATGAATGTATGCATGTAACCAATTTTGATCAGGTGACCATGGGGATATGGCCACAGTCATAAGTGTGAAAAATAGTCATGAGTCATTTTTTTCCAGTGCCGTCGTTAACTTCAGATGGTCACTAAATGAATTGTAAGTCAAAGACAATCTGTGGCCCTATTAAAAAAAAATATTTTTTCAATTTTATGTTCGCCATAAAAAGCTTCTGCACTGCAACACTAGCCGGAGTCCAAATATTTCTTTGCTTTCTCACAAGTCCACCCAAAAATTACATTCCTTTTGAGAAAACTTTTATTCATTTTTGACAGTTAAGTCATATGTTTTATAAGTCATAAGTTTTATTTGTCAAGCATATATAACATAACAGGTAAAATTATAAACATAATTTGAATACAAGAAAAGAGTAAGAGTAAAAAGGAATATTAGGACAGGGACGGAAGGCATGCTGGTGCACTTATGCACACCCCTTACAGACCTCTTAGGAATGGGGTGAGGTCAACAGTAGACAGTTTAAGGTGAAAATTTTGGGGGTTTGGGGAAGAAGCCACAGAGTCAGGTAGTGCATTCCAGGTGTTGACCACTCTGTTGCTGAAGTTGTATTTTCTGCAATCAAGTTTGGAGCGGTTTACCTTGAGTTTGTATCTATTATTTGCTCGTGTATTGTTGTGGTTGAAGCTGAAGTACTCGTTGACAGGAAGGACATTGTGGCAGATGATTTTATGTACTATGCTTAGGTCAGACTGAAGTCGGCGTAGTTCTAAATTGTCTAAGCCCAAAATTTGGAGTCTGGTGGCATCAGGTATTTTATTGCGGTTAGAGGAATGGAGGACTCTTCTCGTAAAATATCTCTGGACTCTCTCGATTGTATTTATGTCCGATATGCAGTGCGGGTTCCAAACAGATGAGCTGTATTCAAGAATTGGTCTAGCAAAGGTTTTGTATGCTCTAGTTAGCAGTACAACATTATCAGAGAAGAAGCTACGCAAGATTAGCTTAACAAGATTAGGTTAAATTAGGTTGAA